AACATCTAACAACTAATAACCTGTCAAACAGAACTTTAGTGATACTCCATCAACCCAATTTACTTAGTGCATCCACAATGGTTGTAAATTCTAGATCAATTGCCTAGGAAATTCATTATATTTATTTATTATTATTATTGTTTGAAGACTAATATTTTAATTTACTATTGTGTTGAAGTATTTCTCAAGAAACTTCTATATTTCAATTATCAATAATTTAAAAAACTGAGTACGGCTCGAGAATTATTCAGTATATTACTATTAAAAATCACGGAGTAATATCAAAGTTAATATTTATATAAATACTACAAGACTATAATATTGCTAATGTTACAAAACAAGAGAGTATAATTAAGTGAAAAGAAAGGCGATAATACTTTAAAGAACGGAGAAATCTAACCTACGGAGTAGCAAAAGGCAAAGAAGTACCAACATGTACTATTATCGTAAGTTGTAAGCAAGCAGTAAGAAAAGCCAACATGCGACAGGTGACAATCGTAAATCCTGAAAGTGGGAAAGTCCAACTTCATAATGTACTTTAATTTATTTTAAGTTAAGGTGTGTTAGAGGGTTTTAATTACGACGCAAGTATACACTAGAAAAGCAAGGTCAATGGGGAGCTTTATTTCTACTAACTTTAAATAACATGCCTTAGCCTTACCTTTTTGCATGGTTTATTGATATCGATCAGAATATTATTTATTAAGAAAGGCCTTCCTTAATTATTTAATAAATATAAATAAATTGATAGGAGAAAGTATAGTACGAGTACATTATTATGAATTGAAGTTACTAGACTTTATAGAGCTAGGGAAAGCGCGGATTAATTAAAACGAAGTGGTGACAAGTAGTAGTAATAACTCTAATAAATTTTTCTAGTTAGTCATCATAATTATAAATGGCCAAATGAGTACAGCTTGGGAGCTGCTTCTTTTAATTGTTGGGTTCATTAAAACAAACATGTGCACTCCCTCGTAATTAAACTATATAGCATCATCCATTTTATGTATGTATAGTTGCTTCTTATGTCATGCAAATATGGACTTGAAATGAGGACATCTCGTATTTACGGTACTATGTAGCACAATACTTCTTATATGATACGATATTGGTATGTACGTAGTTCTTAGTAATACTCCGTAGTTGAATTAAAATGAAATAATTAAGTTGAACAGGATGAAACTGAATTGGATTTGAGTGAAAGAAAATTGAGAAAATAAAATATGACTATTAAATATTCGCGGTTGGAGCTTGAATAAAAATAAATATAGAGATAGAAAGCAGCTATGGTAGAATTAAAAGGAGAAAGAAAGAAGGGGTATGTTGATTGAATGTGCTAATGGAAGGCTAAATGGGTAGTAATATTAAATAAGGATAATTAAAAAGGGGAGGGTGGGTACAAATTGCAGTTGTAAGAGAGAGAAGATGGAAAATTGAAGAAGGGGTCACAAAGTAAATGATGGTATTAATGTTATGATAGTATGAATTTAAGATGCAATGCTATAAAGCAGGGGAATGGCAGAGCTATTAACATCCATTCAATAGTACTCCATGTCTACTAGTAAATTCAATTAATTGCTAATTAAATGGTTGAAAGGAACTATATGGAGCAATCTTTTTTTTTTTTCTTCAATTCAATTGCCTGACCTGTTACCAACCTCGCTATTTCTTAGCAAAACCTTCTTTATTTTTTTTCCATAGGTACCAAACTTTCTTTATTTCGTTGTCTATTCTTTACAGGGTTATATAAATTTATAGGACAATAATGCTTATTTATTCAAACAAACATATCTTTAATACGAGTACTATTAGATCTATAATCTTACCAGCAATTTTAGTTTCATGAATGATATACGTTAACCTTTGATATTTGGAGTTTTGTGGGTAAGGGCGTCTATTCGTTATAGTTATCGAACTCACAGTATAACTAAACATTCCCTCATCCACTGCAGGGTGTTTGAGAACTTTACAATGAGAAAATCCATGGAAAAAGTAACAAAATATGTGATAAGTTTCTAATAGAAGTATAAAATAAACGAATGCTAAGATGACCTAAGTATTTCTCGAGGATAATGGATTTCTTAATAAGGCACTTTTTTTTCTTTTTTTTTTTTTCTTAATAAGGTACTTAAAAGCCAAAAACTTTTATTTAATTTTTACATGATATATATAATCATTGAGCATAAGTATTTTTTTTATTTGTGACGATTTAAATTTAGTTATAATTTGTATAATTCACAGATTGTCAACGACTTTCCATAAATTCCGTTCAAAAAAAAATAAAATAATTGTGGGTTTCAACATTTATTATAAGTAAGACTAAATATTTAATGGCTCAATCTGTTATCTAATACTCGATAAATCTAGCTAGTTGGATTCAAAATGTTTTATACGAGTAATTACTAACAATATCCCACATATCCTTCCCTTTGAACCTCTCTCAAAAGCCTAGTACTTTATTATTGAAAGTGCTCTAGATTAGGAGTGGTTCATTTTTTTTAACCCCTTAAACTATTCATGCATGATCTAAATATATTCCTCATTATTGTAAAACTAGGTAAAACTCGTGCGATGCGGTTTGTTCATTTTTCTTAAAACGAATATTTTTTTTATTTACGTGATAAAATTTTATATTTTATTCGTTGTACGTAGTATTTAAAATAAATTGTGAATTTTCTCTCATTCATTATATATTTTAATAAAATTCCTAATCTCAAAAGATAATATTTTATATTTAATTAATTTAAATTTTAAAATCTCATTTGCCAATTTTGCTTATGTGGCATTTGAATTATTTTATTCTAAAAGAAATTATAAATCTCTTATTTAATTGGCTTTAACTAAAATGTATAATCTTACATGGCGCGTTAAGAAAATTTAATCCGCTCTCTAAAAACTCGAGAAAAAACTCCCCTTAATATATATATATATATATATATATATATATATATATATATATATATATATATATATTTGATTTATTTATTTCTATTTGAGAGTTTTTGGGTTGAACGGTTGAATGTTTAGTTCATCTAGTTGAAAGTCAAATCTCAATTTCCTATAGAGTAGTTTTAGTCAGTTTGCTACGAGTAAAGATTTTGAGTCAACGATTTTCGTTTATTGCTATCACGTTTTTCATCCTATATACTAACAGCAACATTTTGACATTAATTGATACCTCTAATTACATATTAATAAAAAAAATTATAATTACACTAAAATCTTTAATAAATAAAATAAAACTTACTCGTATTTCAAAATATCAATCTTAATTTTTTATTTTTTTTTTAGTTTAATGCATAGTTGGAAATATCAACGATGAAATACGTAAATTGAAAATTGTGCCAAAAAAATACAGTAGAATAGATAAGACAAATTAAAAAGAGCATAGAGATATAGAGTAATACAAACGAAAACAGGGAATTTCAAATCTATAATATGTCATACATAAACCCTCAAACTAAAACCTCGTTGGTGTATTCGATCAATCACTTGAAAACGACATGTTGCACATTGTTGGCAACTAGTCTCAGGCCAAGTGATACTTTGTCATAAACTTCAAATGTTTGTACTCTCACAAATGTGCATTCACTGTCTTGAGTTTTCTAACCACGGATTATAAATGTTGATAAGAGCTTGATATCAAATTTGAAAGTCTATTATCTTCAAACATTGAAAATTGGCACTTAATAGTTAGGTTGTTTCTTTTGGCGTAAGTATGAAAAACTAAACACTAAATAATTCTCTTAGTAAGAATGTCAATTGTAGTTGAAGTAGTTGACATATATACATACCTGTAAGAGAAATGATAGTCAAAATTGAAAAACCGAGAAGTTGGTTCGAGCTTCCAAGTACTGTATTAGATGATTTGGGCCTACTGGACTAACAACATAGTACATATAGCGAATGGATTTTATGAGAATGGTCCACAGTAGATACTACTAGAGTACTAGTATTTGGGATGGGGCGACCGCGTCTTGAAAAAAATAATAAAATCGTACATGTAGTTGATTAGCGAATAATTAGAAGAGTAATTGCCTTATTAAGTGGTCTTGATTGCGGGCCGAATAGTGTAATTAGTATGGGTTTAGATAATTGGGCTGCATTAATAAAGCAATGACGCAGAATTAGTTAAACATTAATAAGGGTTCACGTGTAGTGTCCCAATATTTAATAAAAAAAATCGGTTTTAGTTTGTATTATGTGCGCTCGTAAATAAATACGACGACTACTCCGTAGTCCGTAGAAGTAGTAGACTAGTAATGCATGTAGACTTTGTTAGTAGAGAGTAGCAGTTTGATGATTTAGATATGGTCCCTGCCCCACCTACGTAACTAAATTAATTTATAAAAAAGATGATCAAATTTGACTTTACAAAGCGAGTAATGTCACCCTCATTTCATGCAAACTTAGAGACCCTTTATATCATTAAAATTAAATGCCAAGAGTAATTTCCATTTATTATTAGGAGGTAGTGTTGATGTTATTTGGATGAGCAAGAGAAATCAAAGAAGCAAAATTGAATACGTAACTTAATCAATAAGATAATAAAAGTGCAATAGTAATAGTAATAATAGTAATTAAAATTAAAAATTAAAATTCCATTTGGTTGCAGAGAAGACGGGGAAATGATTAACAATGTAATCATGTTCGCGGCGGGCTAATGAGTGAAGCCCGCATAATTCCCGTCTTATGGGCAACCAAACAGGACATTTTAATCCTTACATACTAGCTTAACAGAGAGAGCTAATTAACTTACACCTAACTTAACACAATGTAATTTAAAGCATATCTCTCATGATTCTAGCTTAGCTACTTAATTAATTAAGGTTTCTAGCTAACTACCACCAACAGCTAGCTGCCGCTTGTTTCTTTTTTTTTTTTTTTATGTATTTATATCTTTATATTTATATATATGAGAGAGAGGAAAGGGAGAGAATTTAAATTCCATAGAAGCATACACCTTGGCTCCACGATTGAACCCCTGACAACGATGATCATTAGTTGTTGTGGCTGCGGTTGCGGATGTTGTTATTGTTGTTGTTGCTGTTGCTGTTGTTGTTGTCATCGTTGTTGTTGCGAAGGAAGTCAAGGAGGACGGTGCTCTTGCACTTGGGGCAGCGAGGATCAGCTTCAGACAACATGACATACATAAGACACCTTGGACAACCAACCAAGACCATGGAAGTAGTTTCAGGGCTGCTGGCGTACTTGAGGCTTTCTTCAGACGAAACACATGATCTTGGTGGCGAGTCATCTGATGATGACGTTGACATCCTGTGTCGTCTTATATCTGCTGCTGCTGCTGCTCCACCAACCACCCTCGCCGGTGGCGGTGACAAATTCAGCTTCAAATCAAGGTCTTGATTGTTGTTGTTACCCCTTCGATTCCTTCTGCTCATTTTTCTCACGCTACCTGAAATTCCCCCCTTCACCTTAGATTTTGCTTCTCATAAATTTATGTTAATAAACTATTTTAATGAAAGAATATAAGCAGAGAGTAACTTACTGAATTGAAACAAGGTGGCAATTAAGAGCGCAGTTGCTTGGCCTGGATAGCCGAATTCAAGATGGATGAAACAAATTAAGAGAAGGAAGAAAAAATTAAAAAATAAAAAATAAAAAAAGAAAGAGAGAAAGAGAGGGGGAGAGAGGAGAGGGGTTGGGAATAGTTAGTTCATGTGAAGCTCATTATATAGAGGGGTTGAATATACATACTGTATAAAGAGAGAGAGATGAAAAGAAAGGGAGGTGTCTTAAATTCTTAATTAAAGTATGGATAGGAATTGTAAGAGAGAGAAAATTATTAAGGAGATGAACATCGAGATATCTATTAATCCCCAACAACAACGATGAGATCAAGGAAAATTAAAACTAACTAACCCCAACATATTTAAATAAAAATTCATTTAATACAACACTAGCCTTAATTATCATGACGAGTATCAATTTAATGCCTTTCCAATTTTTATTTAATGGCTTTGAGTTGGGAACATATATACATTTATTTTATTTATTTATTTGGAGTATTTTTAACTAGGTCTTTGCTTATTATTCTACCTAGCTGGAGAAACTAACATTGCCAGTAATTGCATCTTCCTAACAACTTTTCCATTCTAAATTTTAAACACCTTTCATTTCATTTCCTCTACTTTCCCCTCATTCTAACGGCTATTCTATTTAGGTCTTTAATTGTTTGCTTAATTTGACTTTTCAAAATCTCCGAGACAAGTTTTTAAACGTATATATTTATTCGTATTTATAAGCGTAATAAAATTTATACAATGAGACAAATTTAAAATTTTACATGACTATATTATCTCTTATACTAAGCATATACTTCGTATATATTAAAGATCTTGCTAACGAACGCTCTTGGGGTGTTAGATAAGCATTTAAAGATTATTTAAAGTTGTATTAATTTAGGAATGTATGACAAAATTAGGGATGGAGGGAGTACTACTCTACCGTACTTTATTAAGTTTAATTTCAAGTATTTTCACCCTTCATTTCTTTGCTATTCAAATTTAGTGTCTTCTTATCAAAAAATTTATACATAATATTAATTTAAGAACGTATGATAAAATTATGTGTTCACCGATTTACAATTTTTTTTTTAATTTACTTATTATTTACCCTTTTTGTTATTAGCTTCTTATATACAAGTAACATTTTCAAATCTTGGTATACAATACACATATACATAACTATAGCCTATAGGCTTAGAGGGGTGTATATACACTTCGATCACCCGATTATAAGATGAATGCGGTGATTTTTGAGATATTTTAATAGTTTGACGAAGTGACCAGAAATATTTATGTAAGAGGATGATCTCATACAAATTTAGTGTCAAACTACAAAAACCAAAATATAAAGAATACTTCGAAATAAATAAAAAAGAATTCAACAGATATAATATGGAAACAAAATGTGATTTTACTAACGCAATACACAACTAACACAAGATACCTTTTTTGTTATTTGACTAATTTTTGAACTTTAATTACCTTGTCACGGCTCATCTACAATAGAATCTCAAGTGATAATGTTGAGTGCAACAAACATGCATGCTGAATTTGGGTTGTTTTCTTAGTGACACACTACTATCAACGGTACCATTTAAACCAAAGTTGATGTCACATTGTCACTAGAGATTATTAAAATTAAACAAATATTTACTTGTAAAATTTTTGACTTTTACATTTATTAAAGCATAACCTCAATTGTCAACATCTTTAATTATAAATAAGCAAAAAGTAATGGTTTGAAAACATATATTGAGACGGATCACATACAAGCAAAACAAAATAGGTGGCATATGTGATTTTACAAGTCATTAGGCTATGCCGCCAACAGGGTTATTGTTGTAATCAAATGTGGTTATAATAGTAAAATTAGAGACAATAACTTTTCCAAATTATACACGGTAGTCATGCATTATAATCCTCATTTCTATTTTATGTATTACAAGCACATATTAAGTTTTGTGTATTCTAGAATCTGTTACATTTGATATATTTTAAGGGTAATGATATATGTAGCCCTTAAAACTATATATAAGCATTAAATATACTTCTTAAAATGGAATTAAGTTGGGAATTCATGACCAAATCACGCACAGATTGGTGTAATAAATATTAATTTATCTTTAATATTTCCTTTTTTAGCTTCTTATATATAGCTCTTAGGGTTATGTTTATCATTTTCCATATTTTAATATACAATATAAATTTTGGACAAATGTAACACAAAACAAGTTATTATTCCAACAATGCTCTTACTTTTTTTTGTTATCCCAATTTATGATTTTGTTGATTAATGCAATCAACACAACATTTAAAAGACAATCAATGCTTAATTTGTATTTTACGTAAGAATGCAATGTAAAAACATGAACAATAATTTATATATATATAAAAAAAAAAGTATACTCCGTAGTATTTAATTAATTGAATATTTTTTTGAGGGAAAATTGAATATTATAATTTACTTAGGCATGATACCAAACTTAAGAAATAAAAAATAAATTAAAAAAAAAAGGAGAGTAATTGGTCATTCTTGTGAATTTTGATTGGTTTGACCATGTTAGCTAAATGAAATCCGTCCCTTTTTTCTTTGAGGAAATGAAATCCGGCCCTCGAGAGTCCAAAGGAAGAGAGATGGGAAATGTACATAAAATACGGATATTATGTATATGCAATTAAGTTGAGGTAATATAGATGCAATTAAATTCAACTAACTTTAATAAAGTTAGTATTGAAGAAGGATCTCCTCCGAAAAGGGTTTTAATGATGCACAACAGTAGTAATAAAACTAGCTAACGTCCTTGTATTAATTAAGACTATTAACTGCAGCCATTGGATCAAACTGACTCACCTCATCACCATCCATTAGATCATACGTCCACTGACATCATCATCTGCCCATCCAACGGCTCCTATTTTAGTTTAGTAGCTAGTCCATTGATTCTTACAAATACTGTGAACGCTACAATTTATTGCAAATTTACAGGAAATTAAACCTAAAATAACTCCGTATAATACAGTAAAGTGTTTACAAATTAATACCGAAGGCCCATATCATCCGGTGGCTATATACTCGTAGTAAATAAAAATTCCTTGGTCCAAGCCCATTTCTTGTCGCTCGCTAAAGTTTCCAATTATTATAACTGAATTAGACTAATTTAATTGGATGTACTGTGTAATACTTTTTTCCGTTCCCCAAATATGATAAATGTTTGTTAAAAATTGGGTGTACAATAATTTATTGTGTGGTGAGAAAGAAAAGAAAAGAAATATGGGTAATTTTTGTGACACTATAGGTAACTTTTGATAGTTTAGGAGTAACTTTGTGAGAATAAAAATAACTGGATAATAAAGGTAACTTTTGCGGTAAAATAAGTAACTTTTAGTATACAATAACCGAATGTACATTAAATTTAACTCAAGTAACCCCAGCCACATAGTGTGCCAGCCACATATAAAAATTTGTGTATTATATGAGTCCCTATCTTTGTTATTCTCTATTTTTTCTCCTCTTCTTGAAATTCGTGTCTCATCCCCGTGTTGTAATATTAGAGGAATGGAGGAAGTATAAGGCTAAGTCTTGTTTTATTTTGGAGCAAAAGGAAAAATCTTAAATTCCACTAGCCGGTAGCCAGGACGCCTGGTACACCAACAGGCCCTCTTACTTAAGAGCTTTCCCTTTGATCATTATTGGAGCTCTTAAAAAATGGCATACTTTTTCGCCATTCGGTATATGAAACTTAATTGAAGGGACCATGTAAGTGTTTGAATGCAAACATCAACGTAATCGAATCATTACTTATGAGTAGAATATAAAATTGATAGACGATTCAGGATCACTTTAATTAGCTTAGCTTGGTTGAATTTCGATTATCGAAATGAAATATAAACATGACAGTCTATGATTCCAATAAGCAAAGAACTAACGGTGTCCACGTTTGACTATTAAGGGTGATATCATTAATGTGGTCATTAATGTTAATCTCATTCCCAATAATATAATCTTGTGTTCATATGCAAATTATGACTTGTATCAGTGTATGCATAATGATTAGCAACTAGAGTAAGAGTAATTTATTCAATGGGTTTCTCTAATTATAATTACTTGGATAATTTAATTGCCTTGATTGACTGTAAGATTAAATTGCTAAAAGTCATGAGTCTACTATTGGTTGTCTTGGTTATCTAACCAACCTAACATACATTGTACTAATTGAGTACTACATAGTACATACATGAACATGCATCCAAACATTGTTTCCAAATTTGGTGCCAACAGTACAATAAGAGACTATTTGAACAAGGTTACTTTCAAAATCTCTTTCTTTCAATAAACTCTCATTTGGAATTAATTCTATTTAACATAAAACATACTATTATTATCCTCTAGTAATAGTAGTAGCTTAAATATAAATAATAATAAAACAATTCAGCGACTTAGATAACTAATTGGTTATAGAAAAAAATAAAACCCCTAGAAGTATTTCTTCGAGAACACTTTTAAGAAAAGGTCCATAGGACGACTCAAAAACCTTTCCTTCATTTGGACCCTTGACTTCATTATCTCATATACATATAGTAGTATAGTTACTATAGTACTCAACGACCATATAATAACAGAAAAAAGAGATGGTAGTTTTACAACTCTTGAGCGAATTTGACTAAGTAATGCAAAATTTCTGTTCAGAATGAATTACTCCAAAACATTACATTACTTATGGTGTTCACTTTATTATCATCAACTATTCAACTTAACACGCTCGAATTAAGTTAAACTAGTACTAGGTTTAAAGAATCGAGCAAGAACATTATGATTCTGTTCTGGAACTACGAACAGTTCATTTGAACCTTGAAAAACAAAGAAAGTTCTCGTACAAGACACACCTACATGACTGCAAATTCGACAGTGAGATGTGCATGATCAGAAAGCAAGTAATTTTCAGGCCAAGTCCCTTCCTCCACTTCTTGAGGGAAAAGTGTGGCCTTATTGACCGTAAAACCAATAGCAGCTGTAGAATTCCTCGCATCTTCTACTTCATCCACACCACTACTGTCATCATGCTGAAGAGCACACAGAGTCCACGCTCTCTGCAGAATGAGCTAACCAATCAACACCACAATCAATTGTAAAACCAAATCTTTCAAACAAATTGAATGTTTTTAGGAATAATAGTACCAAAACGTTTGGCACATGAACAATTCCATCTCCGTCTTCATCTATACACTTCCATATATCCCTGATATCTTCATCATTTAGGCCTCCATCAGGGTTCCCACTTATGCCCAACTAGAATCAATCAAATATAATTACCAAGTTATAATTGCCAGTGTTGTATTTCAAGCACGTAAGGCTTCAAGTTTTTTTGTTTTGTAAGAAATTTTAGCACGACAATAGACTAGAGGCTACCTCAACAAGGGCTTGAGAAAAATCAGAGTATGTTATACAACTGCCCCTTAGTCTCAATGGTAACTGATCAACACCTCCAGTGATAACTTTGTGCAGCAGATTCTGTAGATTAAATTAAACCATTAACAAAAGATCAATTGCCAGCTTGATAGTAAGTAATGCGCCAAAAAAAATACTTCACTTTTAAACTACCTTTATGTTTCCCAAAATTGCTTCCATGAAACTCTCTTTTAAGGGTTTCTGATATTTCTGGGGATTCTGCAGCCAAATAAAGTCCACTCCACATATATTTCCTCTGTGGTTCCGGTGACTAACCCACTGCAAATTAAGTATACCATTAGTACTTCTCTACAAAATAATCAGATATTATAAAGATGTCTGAGGCTGGCACAAACCTTCTGTGAATCATCAGTATCATCTTCATGATGGTGAGCAATATCATAGGTCGAGACAAAACCTTGTGATCGTAAAAACTTGTAGACATGTCCTTTTTTACTTCCATTCCAATCCCTTTACAAATGTATGTGAACACAATGATCAGCAGTAACATACAAGATGCTAGATGTCCTTTGGAAAGGTCATCATGACATGCAACATATGCAATTAGACCATACCCGCAGAGGATGACAGGTATATGGAGGGCATATTTTCCCATGTATGATCTGATATATTGCAAAATCTTGTAAACCTATTTGGAACAAAAGAGATGGAAGCAGAATCATAAACTTTGATATCTAGAATTAAAGCTGACTACTCCGTACTATGAGTTATTTATGGTAAATACAGAAAGCAGCACCTGCTGTAACCGAAGAAAACAGTATCTTGAATTATGTGGAAATATCAAGTGAGTATTTACAATTATAGCTTCCTTGACTATATTTGTGGTATTCTTCTGCGTATTATCACAACATAGCTCCACATGCAAAACTTGTGCTACACGATCAGCAATATCATTGAACAACAATTCTCTGTAATTTAACAAGCGGAACTGGCTTTGATGTAGTGCTGTTAACAAACCTGCAACAATCTGTCTATTCAAGCCCAAAACAAATGTAGTAAATGCTTACAAATAGAATAGGACAGTTAGAGCATGAATTCTAAACCGGTATTTAGTATATTATAATTTGTTTGTGAAAGATTCAACCTTGCTAAACAACAGATCAGAAACCGTGCATCACTAATGAGGAATTCTGGTAGGTTCATACCATTTATCACATAAGAATAGCAAAAACATACACCAGAAAATCCCTGAAAAGCTACAACAGCAATTGGCATGCTGCAGTTTACCCTACTTGTCCTTAATATGGTGTCTATGTTCCTGGTGGTTTCAGGCAAAAGAATTGGATAGAAGATGCCCGGGGCTTTTTCAAGAACAAGCTTGAGATTTCAGGCCCAATCACCAGTCTAGGACTCTCTAGGAGAAGTATTTCATTACGGCTATGTTCTTAATCCTCAACTTATTTAAGACAAAAGAGTTTCAATAAGATAAATATAAACAGATTAAGTTTGAATAAGCTAAGACATACTGACAATGCAAGTTGAAAGTTTGGGCTGAAATAAGTTGAGAATAGTCGAATAATTAGGGAGAACATTAACACACCTGAACTCTTTACAAATTGAAAACTGTATGTCGATGTTGAAAAAAGAAAATAATTTCATATGATGAGTATCTAATTCTAACGATAAATAGGTGGAGAAAGAGATAGTATAACAGTAGTACCATCCCCACGGCTGTTAGTTCGAGCAAGCTTGTAAGTCAGATAACCCTCATCATGAAGCCTGCTCTCATACATCCCAGCAAGTTCTTCATTATCCACCCAAAATTCCTGAAAGGGGAAAGGACTACGATATATTATCATGTTTAATTTAATAATTTAAAAATCATCAAATGGACAAAATAAAAAAAAATAAAAAATAAAAAAGAATACCTGCAAACAGATTACAGAGGATTTCAAGTGAAGCAGCCTATCCAAAATCCTGCAGTTTCTAGAATGCCAAGACTCCCTAAACTGGCTTTCACGTGCCTGAAGTGAGCAGATAAAATCAAATAGCAGTAAATTAAGAATATTAAACATAAAAATTTAAATTTGAAGGGGCTGTGGCAGGAAGACGTACCCCTCCACCAAGGCGCTTGTAAATAGGTGCAAGGATATTGAAGGTTGTACACGAAAATTCTGTATTTGTATCCCAACAATCCAAATTCTTATATCTATTTGGATTGCCGTCGTCTACTACTTGTTCATACAAGCCATTTACGACTACTACAGGCTCACCCATACCACTACCACTACCACTACCACTACCAAATATCAATATCGATTAGATAATTTGAATTTGCAGCTCAAATAATGGAGAAATTTAGAATCTATAGGGTCGGAAAGTACAAGTATTTCAAGTTGGAAATGGAATAAAGTGAGTGGTGTAAGTAGTACCTTATAAATTAGGAGAGCAGAAGCTCAGAATCAGGCATAACAGTTTTTACAGCAATTAAGTGAGTGGAAGTAATTAAGTCAAGTGAGGACTGAGGAGAGTAGTCTACAAAGATTGACATCAAAGTAAGGGGCCACCGTGCTATAGTTACTTCTAAAGGAACTAAGCTCCAGGATTCCAGAATTTAATTTTTTTTTTTTTTTTTTTTTTTTTTTTTTTTTTACATAAAACCTACCTTTGTTGATAGTTATTTGCCAACTTTACAGTTGAGGCTTAATTTGGTTCATGTTGAAAATACAAAATTGTTAAAATTATGTGTTGATTTCATTTCAACTGATGACGAAAGTCTCATATTTTGGACTCAACTTCTCTATGTCAACCAATAAATGCAACCCCCAACATCATAACCTTTTCAAATGTTAGTCCATTAAGTTTGCCATATTGTAATATTTATTTATACGAATTTTTTTGGAGGGTTTTACCAGAAGTTCCACATTAGAGATTATTAAACAAGCATAAGTATGGAACTATAATGTAAGCCACAAAATATACAATCATTTATATACTAATTCATTCTTGTGAGCCGTTTTGGCCATTAAAATTAAAAAAAAAATGACCCTACCTTTATCTTTCCTCACTCCTGAGTCACACACTCACAGTCACTCACACTGGCGTATGCTAGTCAAGATGTTCTCTTCTAATGCATCTCTTGTCGGTCTCCCTTAACTAAGCCCATTGCAACATCAGAATATGAATATATTCCTTTCTGACATATTAAATTATAATCCAAATTAAGGACGATTGATTATATTCTCACCGAAATGAGCAAGCAAAAGTTAAGAGCTCTGTTTTGCTGTGTGCGTAAAGAATCTAATTGTCCAAAAGAGACCAACGCATAATCAACGCTGGTGTTAGATTACAAATAATGCTAATCTCGAAAGTTTGGATGGCCGGATGGAATCAATACTGATCACAAGATGCCAATCATCTTCGGGAACTTAGTGAGTCGGACTTGGAATGAAAAATATCGTCTACACAAAATAAATAAATAAATAAAACACTAAACCAATACCAATTTCAATTTACATCAAACCAGAAAAATGATTACCAATTTCAATTTACAACAGACCAGAAGAATGAATACCAATTTCAATGCCTCATCTTCGTAATCAAAGCTTAATCTTTAAGAGTTTCGTATCAAATAGACAAATATTAAGAACAAAATGACATGCCTATATAAGATACAATGTAGTTACTGCTTGACTGTATGAAAAGCATTTGACCACAAATATGGCGACACTGGCATAAGGTAGCTATCTATACGCTGTTAAACATATTACATTGACAGACATGGGGCATGAATGAAGGGAGCAAAAAAACATACAAACCCTCCTACGACAAGATCTAATGGAATATTGTTTAATCTTCCAAAAACTGCTGTCGTTCAAGCTCTATGATACTTTCAGTTAGATTGCTTAAACTGCTGTTTACAGTTTCATTACTACTACGGCACTCTGATAACTGTTCTCGCAGACTTCGTACAAGCTCATTGAGTTTCTGAATGCTCTTCTCTTGAGATAAAATGATCTGTGATGCGTAAAAATGAGAAGATGAATTAAGTTGTTCAATTGAGACAAAGCTATCTACTGCATGCCATAAGATAGGAAATACTACTCAGTTCAATAAATATATGTCTCACAAACATCACGAATGCCTCACAAATTTTCAAAAGAAAAGCCTGCATAGACTACCCAAAATAGCAGCACTAGATTGTTTCAAAAAGCTTGCTACACCCACATAAACTAAAGATTGAACTATTTCCCCCCTACAAAAGGTCGACAAAAGTACTGGGACTACCAAAATGATAGGCAGCATTATATTAGCAGGGAAGTAGAATTATATAACCCAGGCTCAAACAGTTGTAAAACAAGTTTATAAAGGTAACCTTCATAATACTTCCTCCGTTCCACCATAGTTGCACGGTATTCATTTTTCGAAATTTCACAATAGTTGCACCAGTTCCATAATTGAGAAGTTTGTTATGTCAAAAAGAGAAGGGAGCTCTTGCCAACATTCATGAACCCCAGCCCTAGTGCAAACTGCAAAGTAGCCAAACACAGGGAACCCTAATTGCCTTTTTGATAATAACCCAAACAAAGCAGGGAAGACCAGTGAAAGCAAAAGCATGAAAGAGGTGTCTGATATTATCTTGGTTCTGTCACTTGCCTTCATTGAGTGAGGTGTGTCCTTGTGCCTTTCCATTGCAAAGAACATGTTCCCTTCCTAGCCAACAACCAACCTCCTATCTTAAAATATATAGTATATTCTACAACGCTATTGCCATAAAGAGGGTATAAGACAACATATCTTGAGACTCAACTAGGATACACTGATAGAGCCAGGGCCTTTATTACATCCTTGCTGCTCAATCCAAATACCAAAATTCGCATCTGATATTACCTTTCTAATCTTAAGGGGATATTGGGACGTGTCACTTTGTACTTCCATCATCCCCTGAGGACCTTATTACATCACAGGATCTAACAGCATATCCAATCTATCCTTATCAATCTTCTAATAATCCCCTGGCATCCACACTTCACATCATTTCCTTGGCCTAAAATCAGTTTGCAAATGAAAACACATGTCCGACTCCTGCGCCCAATTTCCATGTAAAAACTCATTTTTTGATGGCATTAAATGCTTGACCATGTATTTTACACAGAAGTCAATGTGTTCTTCCATTTAGCTCTCCTTCAATGTGAAGCAAGTCATCAAGAAATTCTGCAAGTTTTTATCACTTTCTTTTGCAAAGTGACAAGTGCACATGCTAAGACTGCAATGACATTCCTAGAGAGATTACATCTACTCAACATGGTATATAGGTCAAAATATTGGTAGGTTAAGAGAAAAGTTGCCAAAAAATTTCACCAAGACCAAATGGTGGAATATGAAAGAGGACATCTTATCCCAATCTCATCCCAAGATTGCGATTGAGGAAATATAGAATGACAACTGACAAGAAGGTGCGGCAGACCAAATATGGGAGTCACTTGCAAAACAAGAAATAGATACAGCTACAGAAATCGCAGGAGAATCAAGCATAGGAGAGATGATGGTGAGATAAAGAGGCCAGGCCAGGCCACCAGAAATGGGAAAGTATAGTATGGCTAAAATTGAGGCAAATAAAAACACTTGCGGAGATTAGAATAAAGCATATTTAATATATGCATTAGAAATTGAACTGGACATAGGTTAAAAAAATTAATAATAATAATAATAAAAAAGAAGGGGGGGGGGGGGGGCTTAGTACAGGATGCAAAGATCTTGAACAAGAGATATGCATCAAAGATGAAAGAAGAAAGAGAATAAACCAGAGAAAGAAAGATGAGGCTGACATCAAGGAGAAAAAAGCAGCACAGATTCATTATGTTATGGAGGTGCTTACACTTTGTTTGGGTAGCAAGGAAAATGAGGGGAGGGGGAAAGTAGAGCTCCATCTTCTCTTCAAATCTCTCCAATTTTGGAGTAAAGGTGTTTACTTAAAAACTGATCCCTCCCCTTCCTTCCCCCCAACCTTTTATCAAACAAAGGATCTTGTTCTCCTCCCTTTCTGTCCATCTCCTCTAATCCAAAAAAGTGTTGAAGCAAAGGAGAATCTTAGTGCACATATTTGAGTTACTCAATGAAGTCAAATCAATCACAGGAGAAACAAGCAAGGTAGAAGAGGAGTTTTAAAGGATCAAACTATTTCTTATGACCATTATTGTAGAAAAACTTGAAAACCCTTCTTTCTGCTGTCACACCTGCACCTTCCTTTTTTCTTCCTCCCTTCTCCCGTCTTCCTTGAGTCTACTGTCATTTTATTTTCCTTATTTAATCAGTTTTATGATGCCATGATGGTTGATTACTTGATTTGTGTCCTACTTTGAATACACATTCTGGTGATAGCTTGTTACAATATATTCAATTTGAGTCTTACTTTGTGAGTAGTGACTATCAATTTTTGAAAGTTCTTTGTCCCCATTGATTTCTAAGTTATGCAGTTTATTAATAAAATTATGCCCTCTCAATTTCAACAATAAAGTGGCAATGTTGTTAGTAGCACAATAGTGGGTCGGTTAATGTGTCTTCAATGCAAAGTGGGGTAATTCTACTATTGTAGAGATTTGTGACAATTAGACAAACAAGAGGCTGTAAGAGGGACCTGAAGATATCGATATAATTTTTGTAATGAAATTCAATCATCAAGTAATTCGAGAATAATTTGAAATTACTTGAAATACAATTTTTTTTTTTTTTTAAAAAAAAAATCAATAAATTACAACTTCAAAGAAAGCAAGTCGTGATGATAAACTTGAAATGGAGAGAATAGAAGAGGTATTTGAAAAACAAATAAATAAATGAGATAGGACATAGAGAAGTTCCTTTGCCTAATGAATCTCAATTGGACAAAAATATTCCTCTTAAAAAAATAAAAATAAATAAATAAATAAAAAAAAAAAACCCTATTAAACCACCTATTATTAGAGCTTTTTGGTATTGAAGCTAGGGACCAATTCGATTAAGAGATTTCAAGAATGTTTTAAACAAGGGGTTAGCCATTTAATCTTGCTAGAAATCCACATCATTTAAGGTCTTGCTTTTAATTTAGTTGAGAGGCTGATTCAACCACTTTAATCAATTTGGAAAAAATATGAGGGACAAATGTGAATTTGTGACAAGTGAAGGGAGTGATCTAACAAGAAAGTCTGCCATTCATTTCATGGCTAATTTGATGAAAGAAAACCTTTTTGAGGTGGGTTAGCTAATTGTTGTGCAAATAATAACTTACAAAGCTACAAAATTGTAAGGGAGCATTGAGACTTTGAGAGTTAGAGACTGGGTTTCCTAACATCTATTGGACAACTTGTCTTGAAGAACACTTAGTGCAACAAAGATGTGTGGCAATGAGGAAAAATATGGAGTGTAGTTGGATCGCTAAAATTCATACTCATGTTATACAAATTAAAATTCCATCATAAATCACAACATGAGAATAGCAATCTTCCAAAGGTTCTCTCCTCTTAAATTGGTTTTCGCATCCGATAATCATTTTGCATCCATCGTCATTATTCTTAAAAGATTTAAACTAATCAAACGAGGCTTCCAAGAGACAGTAATAAGTGATGAATGGTCTTCTTATAGAGAAGAAGAGATGGGGAAAGCAAACTTTGTGAAAGAGATGATTAAGCATGAAAATTAATGGGAAAAAGTAAGTTACAATATATATGAGAAGATTATATTTTGTGACAACAATAAGCCATAACTTGAATTGATGTAGGAGATCATGAGATGTAGGATTCCATTATTGAAAAAGTGAAGCTTGCGATTTATGAGAAAGAAATTGTCCTAGGACTTTAATTTGTTTTTATTTTTAGCTGATGTAAGATCATTAGATTTTATAAAATCATAAAATAAACATAATCTTGTATATATAAACACCCCACCATACACACCAAAATGTTTATCTCCCTACTTCAAGCCTTCAAGGATGCCCACATATTTCCTTCTTTCAAGCACCACATCATCCTTCTTCCCGTCCCAATTTGATTATTAAAAAAGAGATTCTCCATATTCTCAAACACATAATCAAACTAAAATATCTCACCAATTAAGAGCTATAAAGGATATTATATTCATTAATCTACTGCCATCAGAGAAGGAAAGTTCCATTCATTCTCTATATCAATCTACATCAGATGCATCTGGTCCAATTCACTATTTACTAGGGGAATTGGCCTCCAACATATAAATCTTGAAGAAATTTGAGGAGGAATAGATGGGGATAAACCAATAGAAAAAATAATTGCCCATGAAAGCTTCTTTGACGAGAGAGAGAGAGAGAGAGAGAGACCTATTTGTAAAAGTTTATAGACATTGGTCATTTCAGACAAAAATCTCAATCTAATATAAAACATTACTAACACACCATTTTAATCTTGAACGGTTTTGGATGAACCCATTATTCAAATTTGCTCATAACCATCAAATTTAGTGCACTAAAATCTTGGATCAAACCTCTATCTATCAAACAAGGCCAATATATAGCTAAACAAAACCTGAATACTTAGAATGTAAGTAAAGAAAATTAGGGATATCTACGACATGAAAATCAAAATTAGACATACCTCAAAGACGGTGTTTCAAATATTAAGTGACAATTGTCCAAAGTAATAAGTAGTTCCTCAGTTATATTCTGTGTTATGTTTAGTGTTTGAAAAGGCGTGCCTAAGGCGCTAGGGGGTAAGCGCTTAACTTGGTGTGGGTGAGGCGTTTGTGGTTGGGCGCATGAGGTGCACCAAAAGCACAAAAGGCGCACATGAGGTGCATGCCAAAAAATTTTAGTTGTTCATACAGTGTGCCTCAACAGAACCCCTCTTGCTTTAGTGCGACTTGAGCTTTTTTATACATTGGTTACTTCTGTTTTACAAAGTAATGAAATTTAAGAGAATATTGAAAAAGTAAATGAGTGGAAGACAAAGGAGGATTTAAAAAATAAATAAATAAAAAAAGAAGCTTAAAAAGGCGGGTGAGTGTAGAATAAAGGTGAATAGTGTGTATGGAAATGCATAATTATTATGGGGTAAAAGGTAAAATGGTAAAGGGGTATCTCTAAAATAATATAAAGCAAAGTGAGTAGAACAAAAAAGAACAAATTAAGATGGAAAGTGAGTGGAATAAAAAAGATTAGAGGGAGTATAAAAAAAAGTAGTTTTGTGGTAATAAGAAAAAACAACTCAAACTCAATTGCAAATTCTTCAATGGCTAAAAGACCAGTTGTCATTCGACAATTAACCAAGTCTAACACATAAGCTAATGTTGGTGGAAATGAAGGTGATTCAAAATTTAAGCAATCAATCTATATCAATCAATCAATCAATCAATCAAAGCCTTAATCCCATAAACCTCAATCAATCAATCAACCAATCTATATATGAGATAAAATTAAGAATGAGTGTTGTTCAAAACGAGAATGATAACAAACAACACAAACACCATGTAGAGGAGATGCAAGGAAAAAAGTACATAGGAGAAAACAGGTAAGAAAAACTCGATTGAGGTTAAAAAGCAGCATCTAGAACATATTACACATAATAAGAAAAGGTGGAGCACTAGGATTCAAGTAGTTGATTTCTGGAAGATACCATAGACGTTGATGGTGTGTTTAATTTTCTACAAATAACTTCTCTCTCACTTTACCTTACTTCATATGTGCTTTGACAAACCATGTTGAGCTGCTTTCCATCCAAAAATGGTTTTCTACAATAACGAATTGTGGATTTTTGTAAAAAAAAAATTAAAAAGTCCAAGGCCCCAATGTATCCTCTTTTTGGCCATTATCAATTTATCACCGCCAAAACACTCTCAACCCAACACCTCCCATCAGGCCACCACCACCTTGTAAGTTGTAACCCAACCAACCACCACCACACCCATAGTAACCACCCTGTCCAGTGGCACCCAATAATCCCACCCCTCTCTTTTCCTGACCTTAATCCATTACACTTGCACCCCCTCCTCCCCGTAGCAGTTCAATCACAACAATCCTGCCTACACAGTCACCGACCTCACAATTCCTTTCATAACATGCCTCTGTAGCTATCCTTTTCCAATATAACAAACCCAGTGTTGTAACTCTTAAGTCAAGGTACGGTTTGGCAGTTGAATTGATTTGCTAGCAAATTTCATTAAGCTTAGTCCAAGAGTGTAAAATAGCGGTTCATTCCATATTGGTTTTTCTTTTAAGTCTCTAGTTGATCAGCATTGTTAGTAAGAGTTGCAACTCATAGAATTTGCTAATTGACCGCACATTAACAAGAAAACAAAGGAGAATTATAAAAGGAAATCCAGAAGAACACAAAGTAATGGAAGAATGAAGTTGAAGGCGTAATAAACACAGAGCAATGAAGGCAATGAATAAAGATAGGGAGCAGATAATAAAGGAAAGAAAGCAGTACCTTCTCTTTAACAGCTTCTTCTCGCTTGGAAATGCGGTGCTGTTTCAGAGATAAAGTATGATTGGACTCGACATCGCTAACAAGCTGTTGCCTCCACTCGAACTGAGAAGTAATTATAAGTATCAGCAACAAGAATACCAGCAACATTGGCCTCGACATCCTTTACTTTACAACACCTATTTCAAACAACACAACCCAAACTTAATACAAAAACCCTAATCCTAACCTTATTCCAGAACCCTAATAATTTCAACACAGAAATTAATTTACCAAAAGAAGAGGCAGGAATAAATACGAATTGGAGGTGGAAATGCCTAGCATCTAATCGTCCGATTCAAGATCAATTTTGATTCACTCAGGAGCTGCTGATCGATCGATCCTTCACCTTTCTTTCTGTTCTGATGGAAGATGTGACGGAGTACTATTTTTGGGGCTAATTCTATTTTATTTTCGGAGTGCTCATAATGCCAATTTTGCTCTGCTTTTGTTTATTTCTCATTTTGCATACCCTATACGGGCAATACAGCAAATTACAGTACACTATGTTTTTTTTAGATCCATCCATTATTTTTCTTTTAAATACAACACATCTTTTTTAACACGTTTTTTTTAGGAGTTGATTAGTTTAGAGTAAGTAAACAAGAGAATTAAACAAAAATAATTTAAACACTATGATTAGAGAAGGGTAACATAGTATGTGTATAAATTATTTTGATTTATTTTATTTGTTCGTTTACATTGTTTAATCTCTTTCTTAAAGTTCATGCCGAGAAGGTGTGTTGCATTTAAAAAAAAAAACGGAGGAAGTATATAAGGTGGCTAAAGAGCGCAACGCAATGTGCTCATCATAGCTATCTAGTCATCATGTTCAATTCGGAGAGCTTTTTTAGTTGTTAACAACATAATTAGGAAAATACATAAACAAATATTTTTAGAGTATAAATGTGCACACATTTTTAAGAGTTAAAAAAAACAATTAGCATTAATGAGGGCAAATAAGTAAATAAACATTTCAGAGGGTATAATTGTCCAAACACTGTTCATAAGAGTTAAATCATTAGATTACTCAAAATTACACAAGGAAAACTTAGAGACAATTAACATCATATTAATGGAGGCAGGTAAACAAACATTTGAACGATATAATAGTTATAACACTATTTAATATTTATAAGTGTTTCTCATACTTTTTAAAGGTATAGATTACTTTTTAAAGGTAGAGATTTATACTAAATCGTTCCAAAGCATATATTTGGATTTTCAATTACTGGAGGTACAAATTATTAAAAAAAAATCACAATATAGAAAAATAGTATTTAATAATTTATTTACTTTTATTTTTTTTATAGCTATAAAAATTGTCGTTAAAAAAAAAAACCTTGTAGTATATACTAAGTATTAATAATCAAAATTTAACATTTTCAACGGAAATCAAAATTAACTTGTTAAGAGTGTTAAGAAAAAATATTCAACAATCTATTGTGGTTTGTGTTATTATAGACTAGGTATAGATTTGTTATGTGACTTATGTCTACCATCCTTAATTTAGAATATGCAAACCAATAAGCAATTAATACATAGAAAATTAGAAAGTGATATTTTAGCTAGATTCCTTCCAAAAAATGCAGCTAATAATTTAATTTGAATGACTTGCATCAGAATATATTTGACCATCAAGTCTATCATTACTGTTAGATTTCGGGAAAACTCCTTAAATATGAAGTGTGTACCATTGATCAATATATATAGAGTTACAATCCTAGAACGATAAGGATACAGAATATACACAAATATTATCCTAATCTGCGACAAATATTATCATAACTATAATATCTATCACACCCCCGCAGTCATAGCGGGAGGAGGTCGTACGCTAAGATTGGATCTAAAATCCAAAAATAAGTCTCGTGGTAGGCTTTTTGTGAAGATGTCCGCAAACTGATATCTGTAAGGAACATGTAGAACCCGAACATGACCCAATGCGACCTTTTCTCGAACAAAATGAATGTCTAACTCCACATGCTTGGTGCGTTGGTGTTGTACCGAATTGCTAGAAAGGTAGATGCGCTGACATTATCATAATAAACAATAGTAGCCTGACGAAGAGGACAATGTAGCTCCAATAGAAGATTACGAAGCCAACAAGCCTCAGAGACAACATATGCGACGCCTTGATATTCTGCTTCTGCACTCGATTTAGATAAAGTAGGTCGACGCTTAGATGACTAAGAAACGAGGTTGTCCCCAAGAAAACAACAATAGCCCAATGTGGAACGACGGGTGTCGGGACAACCTCCCCAATCAGCGTCAGTGTAAGTAATCACGGAGTAGAAGCAGATGGATATAGATGTAAGCCATGATCAATGGTACCCTGAATGTAGCGCATAATGCGCTTCAATGCATCATAGTGAGATTCCCGGGGATCATGCATAAAGAGACACACCTGTTGCACTGCATAGGCAATATCTGGCCTTGTGAAAGTGAGGTACTGAAGAGCACCTGCTAAACTACGGTATAGAGTGGGATCCCGAAACGATGGTCCTTCATCAGCACTAAGTTTTGACTTAGTATTGACTGAAGTTGCTGCAGGTTTGCAAGAAGCCATACCTGCACGCTCTAAAATCTCCTGAGCATACTTCTGCTGCGAAAGAAACAGATAGGAGGGAGTACGAGTCATCGCAATCCCCAAAAAATAACTCAAAGGCCCCAAATCTGACATCGGAAACTCAGTTTGCGATTGAGAAATTATTTCTTTTCGCAACCTGTCACTAAAAGTAGCCAAAACAACATCATCAACATAGAGAAGCAAATATGCCATATCATCACCCTGCCGAAAAGTGAACAGAGAAGTATCACTCTTGGCAATAATAAAGCCCATTTTCTGCAAAAAAATGTGCAAAACGCTGATACCAAGCCCTAGGGGCTTGTTTTAAACCATATAGTGCCTTTCGAAGGCGGCATACATAATGAGGCGTTCGTCGGTCAACAAAACTTGGAGGTTGGTGCATATAAACTGTTTCCTGCAAGTTACCATGTAAGAAACCATTTTTGACATCTTGTTGATGTATTGACCACTTTTTAGCCATAGCAAGACTAAGAACTGTGCGAATGGTCACCGGTTTGACCACCGGGCTGAAGGTCTCATCACAATTCACACCTATTTCCTGCGATTTGCCATTACAAACAAGACGAGTTTTGTGCCTTTCAAGGTCACTGTTAGACTTGTATTTGTGTTTAAATAGCCACATACAATTAACAATATTCACCCCCGTAGGCCTAGGTACCAACTCCCTTGTCCCTGTTTTAATTAAAGCACTATACTCATCATTCATCGCCGCATTCCAATTATGGTCATTTAAATCTTGTTTATATGATTTTGGTGGAGGTGATTTATGAGGAGGTGGTCCCGAATTATGAACGGTAAGATTGCAATATTTCGGGTTTGGCTTAAAAATTCCACGCTGACTACGGGTGACGCATGGCGAGGGAGGTGGTGGTCTAGTGGGTTGTAGGGTTGGAATGCCACGCAGAGGTGGCGGGGTATATGTCAGGGAAGGCATGGCAACAGGGGTGGCGGGCTGCAAGGGGGACAGTGGCAGCCGCAGGGGGGTTGCGTTTGGCAGCGAAGTGCCGCGGGTACCCTGCGAATTGCACTGTGTTGCAGCGTGAGTGTGGGGAGGAGAGTGAAAAGAGATTGGGCTAGAGGGAGGTGTAAGTTGGGCCTGCTGTGAAGTGGGCTGACTATACCTCATTAAAATACGTGTGAGAAGGGGGAAGACTCATCGTGACCCAAGAAGTCATAGTCTTGTAACTGAAATTTGCTCAAGTTCAAATACGGGAAAGTGGTTTCGTCAAATGTGACATGACGAGATATAATAATTTTATTTGAAGAAAGATCGAGGCATCTATATCCTCGGTGATTCGGTGGATACCCTAAGAGCACACATGGAGTGGAGCGTGGAGCTAATTTGTGAGGAATGGTAGAGGAAAGATTAGGGAAACAAAGACACCCAAACACCCTTAAGTGGTCATAGGAGGGTTGTTTTCGGAATAAGGCATGGGTTGGAGTTATGTTTTTGAGAGCTTTTGTGGGTAATATGTTCAAAAGATAGGTAGCGGTCTCAAGAGCATAAATCCACAACGAAGGTGGTAACGAGGCATGAAAGAGAAGTATGCGTTTGATATTATTGATGGTACGGATCATACGCTCGCCCTTTCCATTTTGAGAAGAAGTATGAGGACATGAAAATCTAAAAACCATTCCAATGTCTACGCATTGCTTTTTGAAAGAGTCATTGTCAAATCCACGGCCATGATCACTTTGAAAATCTTTAATTGGTCTTTCAAATTGAGTTTGCACATAAGTTCGGAAATTCACAAAAGTGGGGAAGGAGCAATAATCCACACAAAGTGAGTGAAATCATCAACAAGAACTAAATAGTATTTATGACCATCAATACTCCGAATAGGAGATGTCCATAAATCTGCATGAACAATATCAAAAGCACAAAAAGTATGACTAGTAGAATCATAAAAGGGTTGTCTAACATGCTTCCCTAATTGACAAGAATTGCAAAACATGGAGCCACGCTCCTTATTACAATCTAAAAAATTATTGCTCCTAAGATAGCTCAAAGAACTAGCACTGGGGTGCCCCAAACGACTATACCAAGTGGTTGGTGAGGTGACCATGAGAGTTGAGGCAAGACATGAAGATGGTGAAGTTGTAGAGGTAACTGGGTAAAGGTCTCCCGAATTATTGCATCTCGTTATTATCCTCCCCGTTTGAAGGTCCTTCACAGAAAAACCATAAGGGTCAAATTCAATAGAAACTAAATTATCATAGGTAAATTTGCGAACTGAAATTAAGTTTTTAATGATTTGAGGTGCTAAAAGGACATCACGAAGGGCTAATTTATTATTTGAGAGAGTGGTGTGACCATAACCTGTAATCGGAATGCGATGACCATTACCAACTAAAATATTATTATTAGTGCTCAAATTAAACAAGGGCATAAGAGTACCTGAATTATGAGTCATATGTGAGGTCGCATCGGAGTCCATGTACCATCCGTTGTTTGTATTTTCCAAATTCATGGATGAGAAAGCCGAACCTAACTCTGTGGGAGTGTGTCATACCCCGTATTTTTAAAAGTATTTTAATTTAACTAAGTATTTCCTAAAGCATTTAAATAATTCAAAATGAATTATTTATGGTGTTTTCATTAATTTAAAAAGAATTATTTTAATTAAAAGTTTATTTTTAATTATTTAATAATCTTGAAAATATTTTATTTCATGATTTAAAAATATTGGGAAATATTATTTATAAAAAGATAATTTTTAAAGTCAATAGTATTTAAGGAAAGTCAAAATACTAGTTTGACTAGGAAAGAGATCATTGAGGGTAGTAAAGGAATTTTAAGTAGGAGGGATTTGAGAAGGGGTATAAATACCCATCATATACCTAAGGTGGAGTGCACCCAAAGGTAAATTCTCTCTCTCCTCTTTTCCCCTTAATTTTTCCCCTTCCCCTTTAATTTATTTTATTTTATTTTATTTTAATCACCACCCAAACACACACCGAACACACCGGCCAGCCACCACTGGTCGGCGGCCACCACCACCAGCACTCGCCAGCAGCAGCAGCCAGCCTTGGTGGTTGTGCGCCGGTGGTTTACAAAAAAAAAATATTATTATTGTTCTTTGATTTGTAATTCAATTTACCTTTAATATAATTATTGTTTTTGGGTTTTGTGATGATTTTATGGTGTTTAATAATAAGTATTTTGTATATAAATTTTCAGATTTGGTTTCGCATTAAAAAGCCCCAAATTGAAAACTCTAGGTTTCTAAATTAATGTATATTGATGGAATTTGATTGTGGGTGGTTTAAATTATTGAAATATATGTTTTAAAACATAATTACAGCAATTTTATAAGTTTTAATAATGCTGGAATTTTTAAATATAAGCTATAATTAAGTTTCTTGAAAAGATTTCTAATTACCCATTAATTGGGAATAAAAGTAAGGGTTTTAAATTAAATTTCAGATTATATTAGAGGGTTTATGAGTGATTTAAAGAGAGTATATATTGCTGAAAATTTGTGTGGAAGAGGTATTAATACTTCTTTGTAAATTTGGTTTGTAGGAGACTTCCAAGCGAGTGATTTTATTTAGTCGTGCGATTTTGAGATCATATTCAAGGTACGTTCACGTACTTGGTAATTACTTGAATATGTAGAGGCATGCTAGGCTTTGTTTAATTAGTTCCAAGTAGTATCATAATAGGTGTTGGTTGGCATTTGTTGATTGGATTGATGTTGGTGAATGATTTGTGATGTATGAATTATTTGTGATGAATTGGTGATTGGAATTAATTATGTTGGCATGTTAGTTGTGAACCATACTTTTATTATTGGCATGATAAAGAGCATGTTTAATTAAACTAAGTGTTTAATTTGGTTTGGAATATTGAAAAGGAATTTTATTATGGTTTATATAATTTTTATTGATGCGATAAGCATGAGGAAGGAGCTATTTAAGTGTCTATGTACACGAGGATTAAATTATATTTTGGTGCCTAGGTGCACTTAAGGTGTTTTAAACACCGAGGGATAGGATTTGCGGTGCATTATGCGTTTAAGGTGTTTTTGACACCGAGGTAGATTAAAAAGGGTTCAACAATTAAATTAATTATGTGGTCACTAATTATTCAAGAATTTAATTGGTATGTCCGATTGCTTGAATAAATTATAATAGTTGATTGTGTTGTGATTTGAGAGTATCACCAAGTCTAAAAATATGTAAACAATGTAAAGTGAAAGAGATTGCGCACCAAAACTCTTGGAACGTATATACCTTGAGTATGAACATATGGGAGGAGTTATGCGACTTTATATTTGACCATAACTTCTACTGGGAATACAAGACGCTGTATTTTCCTTTTTTTTTAATTTATGCGCAGGAATTCCGCCACTTACGAGTGGTTTATTGTATACTGGCACGGTTAGCTCTCGTGTTAGTACCCCTGTATTGGGGAAGGTTAGGGGGAAACCCGTTCGATGCGTAATCAAAATTAAATGAACATTGGTGTTTGTCTAGTTAAGTGTTGAGTGTCGTATATGCTTGTAAACAGGTGCAACGAGGTAAGTTGTGTGATGATAGGATGAAAGCATGTTAGTGTGTTTTATTACGCTTATGTACTCAGCTTTGCTGATTGTGTGTTTGTGTGCTTGTTTGGCCTTGTCTTTACCTTGGCCCTACGACTACCCATTTCTAATGGCGAGTAGTGGGGACAAGTAGAGAGAAGCTTTTCATGTGATGAAGCATTTTCATGAAGGGCATGAGTGAAGAACGAATCATGCTTAGTTTCCATAGGAATATGATGTGTTTTATTTGCTTTGAATATTATTTATTTTATTATGACCATGAGACTAACACAAAGGTTTTAAATATTGATTGGGTTTTAAGGGCCTACAATGGTTCCAAGTTGTAGGTTGACTTTGTTTGACTTTTACTTTCGTTTGGTTTGACTTTTTCAAGTTGACTTGTTTTTAAATGGTTTTAAAGGTAGTCTTCCGCTGTATAAGTCTTTGATATTTGCCTTAGTTATTTTCACGGTGGCGGTAATGTCTTAGATTTTCCTTTTTCGTATTTTAAAGGGTAAAATAGGTAAGGAAAGGAATTTCTAGGGTGTTACAGAGTGTATAGTTGCCCATAGTAGGCTGGACTAGCCATATAAGCTTGTTGCATTGGGCCTCAGACTGGTGGGGGGGCTCCAGGAGAGAGTTGTCGCACAGGCTGCCCAATTTGGCTTGGAGTTGTGGGGTAAGGGCAAGGAGGAGAGGCCCAACCTCCTTGCCATTGTTGTGGCTGCCACTGTTGTGGGGCTGCATAACCAGGCCACTTCTGTGGGCCGGCCCACTGACCTTGTTGAGGGGTACAGTCGAATTTTGTTGTTGCTACCGTATGTTGTTGGGTTGTTTGTTATTGTCGCGAACCTCGACCCTTGCCGTTGCTACCTCAACCTGTAGTCCGACCTCCACGACCAGCACCCCGACCGCCACCGGAGCCGCATCCTCCCAGTGAAGGTTGCTGTTGCGCCGAATTTCCGCTCGAAGTTGCGGATTGATCTTGCTGCGCCACAAACGAAGAGTGAGATGCAGAGTTGTGGTCGTTAGCCCGACGAGACTCCTCTAGAAGAAACCGAGATCTCTCGGTGTTGAAAGAGGGTAGTGGGTCTGTTTAATGAATGAGGGTAGTGACAATATCGAAGTCCGTGTTTACCAACCTAGAGACAAGTCGAATTACGAGCTTATCATCCGAAACAGAGTGATCAATATTGGCAAGTTGATCGGATAAGCTCTTCAATTGTTTACAATAAGCAGTAACATTAGAGAAATTTCTAAGGTGTAGCATATTAAACCGCGTTTCAAGATAGACAACCCAAGAATTCTTGTTATCTTGAAAGATTTCCTTGATGCGATTCCAAGTTTCTTGAGCAGTGGATTTCCTAGACAAAATCGTTTCAAGGAGGTCCGTAGATATGGTGCCGTAAATCCACTGTTTAACAATTGCATCTAAGCGCTTCCACAAAGAGTCCTAAACATCCGAAGGACGGGAAACAGTAGAGTCAATGTGATCTAGCACATTGTAGGCGCAAGCATGGTTCTCAAAAAGCTCAACCCAATTTGAGTATTGGACCTTCTCATAGACGAGAATAAGGGGAATTGCATTTTTTATATTGTTCATTGCCAACGCGGAATGAAACTCCGACGTGGGAGGTGGAGGATAGAGGTGGTGATTCATCATCCTTGGCCATGGAGAATCACTGTAGCAGGAAACAAAGCGGCAAAAGTAATTAAATAAAAATAAGTGGAAGCAAAGTAGGCGAAACAGATCCCAAAAACAAAGAAAGGAAACAAAAAGAATTTTGTGGAAGCCAGATCTAAAACCTAAGTTGTGATACCATGTTAAAGGACCAACTCAACCAAAAGGTTAAGCCGATGGTTGAGACCCAGAAATATGTTTTATACTCTATCACGCCCCTTCACATGAGAGCCCGTTGGGCTTGAAGTGTGGATGCAACATGGGCCCTTCTCATACCCTGCAATATTCCACTTTGGAAGGAGGGGTGGATGAGATTCAAACCCGTGATCTTTGTGTCACGCTGGCTCTGATACTACATTAGATTTTGGGAAAACTCCTCAAATCTGGAGTGTGTACCATTGATCAATATATATAGAGTTACAATCCTAGAACGATAAGGATACAGAATATTCACAAATATTATCCTAATTTACGACAAATATTATCATATATAATATCTATCAATTACTACTAATAATCCATGACCATGAGCACAATATATATTCCATCTCCACAACTATTTTGTTTCGTTTCTTTTGTACTTAAGTTACTCCGTATGCATTTACATATAACCTAGCTTCCTCCCACTACAATCTTGCAAGGGCATAAGATGTTGCAAGTTTGCAACTGTGGGAATTATTTTATTAGCCCCAACATTTCCGTACTATCAGACACAAATATACTGGTAATAAAGTTGGCCTACTTCATTTTTCTCAACCATTGTCATGCACACTTTTCATTATCATGTGAAACAATAATTTATACAATATATAACACACTTCGCTAACGACATGATGAATCCTAGCGAAAACATTAGATAAGTAGGCGCGATATCCTCAACTATATATAGAAGTGAAAATATTGAATCATATTTAGCTACAATTTCCCCAATTTTGTCAGTAAAAGTATGCAGGATCAGTGGCATAGACCATCATCAAAATGAGCAATGCCATAGTAATGACTAGTACATATAGACGAGAACAATTTTTGGATGTTCTCATCCATCCCTGAGGAGCCTTGAAAAATCGTCTGGACTTGGAGTTAACCATATTTTCACCTGAACCTTCCTCCAACTCTTCTTTACGAGGGCTAAGTCTCCTTAGTTTCCGTAGCCTTAGTCTTCTGTTTGCCGTTCCTTGAGCAGGGTATACTCGTTGAACAACATGGTGATGTGAAGGATTATTAAAATTGAGTGGCACAACAGGCACAGTTCCGTTATTGGCTACCATAGGTTGAGCACCAAATGTTGAAGGGGGAAGACATTCATCCAATTGAATGATACTATCGTTCAATATCTCAGCAAACAAGTCATCTTCGTTACCAACATGCTGCCATTCATTCAACACACATGCTTCAGAAAGCTTGATCATATTGAAATGGAGAAAATAAGAAAATTTGTCATACTCGTAGTATTCAATTTAATCATCAGGAACCATAACAGTAGTACCACATAAATCATTCTTCCAATATTGAAGTCTGAAAGCAATACTGCTGTCTTTCCAATGTACTCCAAAATGTCTAAGTTGGCTGTTTATCCAAACAAAATTCTAGTTATGGAAATTTATTGGTTTTCTACAAAGCTGAACTTGTTCCTACAGGAAGAGGTCTAGACTGACAAATGAAAATAATCGAGCCCTGACAAAATGATGCAATTAATCTAATGACCTGAAATAGTAGAATGTACTTAAATGAAGTGGTGCATACACTCACATTAATGCTTGTAGATTCTGGCTGGAATATATAATCTTTGTTCTTCCAATTCGACTGAGATGCAGAATCCATCTGCTCTACAGAATGAGAATCGTGACTGCTGCTGGACTTCTTGAAAGAACATTCAGCTGTCTGCTTGTCCCTGCCCGGTGTATTATTATCAATGAGCCCCATACCACAGTTTGAGTAAGTCCCACTACTAGCCATCAACATAGATGGATTAGGGGATTGATTCATCTCTCCATCTGGACCATTATTCAAGCCATGATAGTCACATTTCTTCCTAAGGCGGCACACAACCAGTGCATCCTATACACGAAACGGAGTATATACATCATATATAAATGCACATCTTCTACTACAGTACGGTAGGAGTTCTATAATAGTTGAACTTGAATGAAATAAAGCTAATATTTCATCTAACCGCAACATACAGCTGTATAATACAAGTAGTAATTACCTGAGCCTTTCCAGACATACAGTACTCATGCATTATCCACTCAGTTCTCTCTCCTTTAGGTGCACGGCCAATGTGGAAAACCAAAGTCCGTTTAGTACCAATCACATTGGAACCAGATTTGACAGCACGCTCTTTTCCAGTAGCTTTCCAGTAGCCAATCTCGGTTGCCCTCTTACTTTGTGAACCATTTGGATACTTTTTACCACGAGGTGAGAAGAAAAACCACTCCTGATCTGACTTGATAATAGCCTTGCCTGTTAAGTGATGCAACACTCACTTTGATCAATCAAGTCTCCCAAACAAGTACAAGAGTATGTATATTTCAATTAAGCACATGCAACTATTTATTGATCAAGTGATCGACAATCAGCCAAACAATAGACGAAGTATCAACTGATATATAGATAACATAACTAGCATAGTGTTGTCGCAATTCAAAGAGCAACATTATATAAAGGAAAATTTGTGTAAAAGGACCTTTTAAGTGGTCAATTTTGTTTAAAAAGACCTTTTTTTAGTGAAAAAGGACCTTTTAAGTTGTATTATGTTGTGAGGGGGTACTAGGCTGAGTTTTTCGGGTGGTCAACGGCGGAGCTCCGGCGTTGACTCTCACGTGGGGATCACGTGACTTCTAAAAAAAAACCCACACGTGGGAAAAATGAAAGGGGTACTTCAAAAAGGAGGGCCGTCCCAAATTTGGGGGAAATGGGGAAAAAAACGTGTGGGTTTTCTTTTAGAAGTCACGTGAACCCCACGTAAGAGTAAACGCCGGAGCTCTGCCGTTGACTACCCGGAAAACTCAGCCTACTACCCCCTTACAACATAATATAACTTAAAAAGTCCTTTTTCACAACTTTTCACTTAAAAGATTTTTTTAAACAAGATCGACCACTTAAAAGGTCCTTTTACACAAATTTTTCTTACATAAATATTTCCTCCGTTGTTTTTAGTTTTACAAAGAATAAACTCAAACTCCCAAAGCTAGCTATGTCCAAGTGCTATGAAGTTTGTTTTGGAAGTATATAGTGTAGAATTATTTGAAAAATATATATAGAGCGATAAGAGTATAAATTATATTCCTAGGCCTCAACTAAAAGCTTTCTGGAATATGTTTTATACTCTAATAAGTGAATCAGTGCTTAAGAATATATGAAAAGATATTATAGAGTAGTTGCACACAACTGACAATGAAAATAATGTATAAGTATAAGAATGAAATTAGAGGCATGGAATAATGTATTTTAGAAAGTAGCTAGTACTCCGTAATAGGTAGGTATCTGAATTCTGAAGTTTACAATTAACACCCACAAATGAAGTAATTAATTAATATATAGGGGAAGATAATATAATAGATATTCGTTACTTGGTAAATTGTAAATGAAAGAAAGAAAGTCATGCCTTGCCCCTCTCCTCTGCTCAATCCCTCATTTGAAGACAAGACAAGAAATGAAAGAAGCTGTAAACATACACACATACAAGTATATATAATACGGAGTAATAATAAAAAATAAAAAAAAAAAATAAAAAAAAAATAAAAAATAAAAAATAAAAAAAAAAAGAAAGAAGAAAGAAGAAGAAAACATACAAGGGAGGTCCCAAGGCTCAAATTTGCAGATGTCGACTTCAGGGATGACTTCAACGCATTTGTGAAAGCCATCCAACTTCTTGGTCAAATAATACAAGATGAGTTCTTCATCTGTAGGACTGAATCTGAAGCCTGGAAACATTGACGAAGCTGCGATTGACCTCTCTGCATCCTTTGATAAAGTAGATAATGATGTACCATCCATCACAATCACAATCACAATCACAATAAACACTTTATTTCTAGGGATGGTTTTAAAAACAGTTTATATTAATCTGTTGTTTGTTGTTGAGGGTGGGCATCTGATAGATGTTTATGTAACAATTCAATTAAGTTAAGGAGTTAGGAGTAGCTTTCTTTCTATTTCATCTTCTACTGCTCCATTATCTATTACGGATCGGATGATATTATTATTTTATGCTTGTATATTGCATTGTGCAGCTTGCTTGCCGTTTCAACTTTCAAGACCACCGCCCTACATACCTTACCTTGGCTTCATGTATATATGTTATTTTTTTTAAAATAAAAGGCAATGCTTAGCTCCAAGGAATGGATTGATTGATTCTCAAACAAATACTACTCGTATTAAATAGTACGTACTATACAATTAATAATTAATTAATATACTCAGCACATATCACCTATATCCGATCCTTATTGAGGTCATCGATCGATCATCTAGTCTTTTACTTTTGAGTTTGATGATCGAAAGCTCAATCAGTGTATTGTGTGAGAGTCTCAACTCACAGTAAAAAAAACAAATGAAAACAGAGCAAGTAGTATTGATGTGTAGTACAACTTGCCGCTTTCAGAATTGGATAATGTATGCATGCTTTTTTTTCATCTCTTCATGTGCCTATCTACGTGTCAACTTCTCCACAACCATGTCCATTGCCCTTTTCTGACATTTGTTCAAACTCTTTTCTGCACTAGTTCTTTTTATTTTTCATACCTCTATTTTTTTTATTTTTTTTTATTTTACCACTAATATTAACATATAGCAATCTAATTCAAGTGGAGATACCCAATATAATGGAGATTGGAGAGCCTACATACAGAGTATATATCTTTTTAGTTTTATTTTTATTGATCCCTTTGTTTTTAAGTATTTGCAATAACACTTCAACTTGTAATTTCAGAGTTATGATATGAATTGAAATGAAAAAAAAAAAATTGGAAAGGAAAGAAACAAAACCATATATTTCAAGTAACCCATAATTTTAAATAGTAACCCCTAGTTTCAATTAATAACTCCTAATTTTAAGTAACTCATATTATAAGTAACTCCTAATTTCAAGTAACCCCTAATACTTAGCATAGAAGACAAAAACAAGTAACCCATATTATAAGTAACCCCTAATTTATTTTATTTCACTTTTTTTTTTGAACAAAAAAACCCCCTAATTTCAAGTAACCCATATTATAAATTTCCCCTAATTTCAAGTAACCAATACTATCAAGTTAATCCACATTATAAGTAACCCCTTTTCTTCATCTTCTTCTTTAATAGATCCCTTCGAAGCTACTCCAATGGCGCCGAAGAAGACGACGAACAACCCAACTACACCAAATCAACCCAGAAACCCAACAACCCCGTTTATATGCCTTTGTTGCGGAATTGCTTGAAAATTTTGCCGAAAATTGCACGTAAAAACCGCAAAAATCGATTTGGGGGTTTTCAAATTACTTGCTCTTTGTGTAAATTTCTTGCATGAATTTGTTTGTATGTTGTACCAATCATCTTCATGGAAGGTAGGAGAGAGAAATCATCCTCATAGAAGGCAGGAGAGAGAAAAGCATGAGAAGGGGAGCACAATGAGGAATGAGAAGTGGAAAAAAAAGGCTTTTAATGGGGGTCTGTTATTTTTAGCTTTAAAATAACGGAAAACGGGGTTAGAAATGGGGGTCCGTTATGTTTTTGTAAGCAGGCCGCATACAAAAAATTGTGATATTTCAATATTTAGTTTGATAGAACACAAACTATTAAAAAAAATTCTGATGTACAATTTATATCGTACCTTTGTTGTAAAGTTGTCCTAAAATTGGAAAAGTTACTCCAAAATAAATAAAAGTTATACCAATATAAATAAAAGTTATCCAATTTAAATAAAAGTAATACTTTATTGATATAGTTACCCTTTTTTAAATGTGTAAAAATTAAATCTCAATGGGTTAATATCCTAAAATCATTGGATGTGTGCTAATAATATTCTAAACAGAGTATAGACAAAAAATTTTGTTGATAGAAAAATATCTTAAAATGTTAATTTAATACGAAATAGGTTACATTTTTATCTCCCCCTCAAATTCCTCCAATTTTGCAAAGTAAGGGGAGTGAAAATTTGTGAAAGGAGCTTGCTTTCTTTTCTTTTTCATGTAAATTTTTTTTTTTTTTTTTGACTTGTCCTAAAATTTTCAAAAGGGAATCCCAAATTCCCAATTTCTCCTAACCAAAAAAAGTCATAAATTTTCCGTAAATAGTCTTAAAAAAAAAAAAAAAAAAAAAATCCGTAAATACAAGTGATGTACGAAGTAGTAAAAAAAAATAAAAAATAAAAAATAAAAAAATTACAGTACCAATAACGATTCTAGAATCATCCCAGAGAAATGTGTTGATAGTGTTCTTCTGGTGTCCATCGAAATTGACTTGGTATGGTTGTTAAAAAAAAAAAACTTGGTAGAAGATAGGAGAGAGAAGAATGTCATTAGTCCCGACCTCCGACGGCGGTAACAACGGACCGTTTTTCGCAGAAGTAGAAATGGGAGCTGACTCTTCTGCTCCCACTGTTCGTGCCACCGTCGTCCAAGCTTCTACCGTCTTCTATGACACTCCTGCCACTCTCGGTAATCTCTCTCTCTGTTTTTTTTTAATCAAATTCAATCACTGATTTATTATAATTATATGGTATTATTAGAAGTTGGAGGGTTTCTATGTTATATGATGTCAATTTGTCAAATATTTTACAGAATTTGTGTGTTCTCTTATCCGAACATTCTAGTTCGATCTTGCGGCATCATGTTTTCATTTAGGCAGATTGGATTGTCACAATTGGTAAGCATAATAAAGAAAATGAATGTTAGTAAGAGCAGAACATGCAATTTTGATATTGTTGCTCAATGAATATGTCAATGGATACTAAAAAAATCACAAAAGCACAAGTAATATGGGATTAAATTATGTTGTTTACTGTGCTTATCGATAATTATACCAAGTATTTGTGTAATCTGTAGAATCATGAAATAGGATGGCTTGAAGCTTGAAAATGCGGCATTAATTAGCCACTAATGGATGCATACGGATGAATAATTCAGCTAAAGTACGTCATATTGAAGGGAGGGTAACAAAGTTGCTCATTAGCTACTTAGAATAGATGCAGCACAACACTTTTTGTTTTTAGATAGAGAATGTTACCTTGTTTTTCAAAGACAGTGTTTTGCTTAGTGCACCATGTTTAGGCGTTTAGTCATAGTTACTTTCTTCTCACAATGAAAAGGGAAGCACGTTAATATTTTGGTCGATTCTTTCTAAGGACTAATTGTATCAAAAAGCATCCAGTTAAAGTAATGTTGGTCCATGCTGAAGCTAGACTTTAACATTGAACATCTCTCCTTGGAAATCGGTAGAGTAACTCATAATTTATTGTGTTCAAAGCTTATCTTTTGCATGCACTTGTTTAAATGGATAAATCTAACCTCGGTATTTTATTTTTTTGCTCTTTCATTACTAATTTTGGTTTTTTAGAAATTGGGCTAAATTGTAGTTGTAATTTTTTGGTAACTTTATTAGGACAACCTATCCTCTTATTGTAACTTTGTTCAGTGCAGTTTTAACAAACTCTTAAACATGCATAAAGATAGCAAGAATCTGTGCTGATATAAATTCCTGTTCTATCTCAGAGAAGGCTGAAAGGTTGCTGGCTGAGGCAGCCTCATATGGAGCCCAGCTGGTTGTATTTCCTGAAGCTTTTATTGGTGGCTATCCACGTGGTTCAAATTTTGGGGTCACAATTGGTAACAGGACAGCAAAGGGCAGGGAAGAATTTCGAAAATACCATGCCTCGGCTATTGATGTCCCAGGCAAGAATCCATTTTTCTTAAAAAAAATTCCTTAAATATAATATTTGAAGGTTTTGTGTTGACACATTTGCTAGCTTGAAAGCTGTCAATGATTTATTATGCATTGATCTTTGATGCAAGCTGAGCTTAATGTGGCTTTGCTCTAAGTTCTTGCAAGTGACATAGGATATACTAGTAATTAGTAAGTGTAGGAAAAAGGATGATCAAGGGCAACCTGATTTGCCTCGATTTATAATGTATTAGTGTTTTTTTTTTTTTTTTTTTTTTTTTAATAATAGTTTTTACATGTTGGTAATTAAAAATACTAGTGTTTGACATAATGCATTGGCAATTGTGAAAGTGTTGCAAGTTTTTTTTATTTTTTTTTAAATAAAAACCCCATAGGAAATACTTCCTTACCATCATCCCCCTCTTACCTCACAATATTTACACTCACACAATCTCTCTTATTTTATTCACCTTTTCCTACATCCACTCACCTTTTTACACTCTCTCTTATTTTATATCTTCCACCTTTTTTTAATAAAATCCCCCTTACTTTTTTTATACACCCACTCATTTTTGTTCAAATAAAAGTTTTCTTAAATTGTGTATGAACAACAAAAAAAAAAAGTAGTACAATATTACAAATTTGGAAAGGAAGCCAAACTATTTGGAGTAGGTCCTGGAGAGGCATGGTCATGTCCTTTGTCGTAGGCACAAGATGGTCATGTACTGACTGAATGTCTCCTTGTGGCCTCAAACTCTTAAGAAAATGGAGCATTTTCTTGCCAACCTTGCTTCTCACCCTTGCACATCTCCAGCAAGGTATAAGGTGGTATTGGTGTGCTGATTAAATCAATTGGGCTTCAAGCCCATGTGCTTTAATTCACCCCATCCATCTTGAATATGTTTTTCTTTATTGTTTTTTAAGCTTGCAAGTCCTGTTTGTTGATCCTTTGTTGGATAATTTGTGCATCTTAATCCATGGGCATGCCATAGCTTAAGTAAAATGTCCCTAGTGCTGATGTGCTGTTACTTACAATGTGTAATATCATTATTTTTTGGTTAACGCTTGTAATGTTCAGCCTTTCTTTTTTCATGAAAATGAAGTAAGCCTTTTGACATTTATTAGCCTTTATGCCCAATTCAAGGTTGCTTTATCAAGGATTCAATCTTTAGATTGTGCTTTGGTGTTAATCTAACCACCGTCACTTTTTTAATTGCTACATTGATGCGTTTAACTTTCTGTCAATATCCCTTTGGTCTTTCCTCTCATTCTCTAACTCATGCTTATTACTTATTAGGCACTCTTAATATCTCATGTAGTGCACCACATATTTACCTCAAGGAGGTGGCTCATGACTCACGAGTCTGCCACCTGCTGTCTATACTCTTGAGCCTTTTGAATGATTTAAACTTGCATACATCTTCCACGCATATTATAAACCCCAGCCACAAGCCAATTCCAAAGGGCATATGTACGATGTGAGTTTGACACAATTGCTTAGCATTTCAACTCATGGGTGATATTTTTTGACAACTGAGCTGATGGTAAAATTCATTTTTATTTTTTTGCTGTTAGAAATTGCATGACATCTTTGTGTCCATTCGTTGGTGATAAAGGATGCCAAGATGCTACATCTTTACTCTATTGAAATAGTAAGGGCTGGCAATACAACCTTATAAACTTACTGTATTTGTCCATTAAAAGATTTTGAAATCAATTTCATCTTTTTCAGATATTGGCCTTCAAAATTCTACGATCATATACATAATCCATTAGGAATTTAACAGTTATCTTGTGCCAATATATATGATTGCAGGTCCCGAAGTTGATCGTTTGGCTGCAATGGCTGGAAAATACAAAGTATATTTGGTAATGGGTGTAATAGAGAGAGATGGATACACACTGTACTGTAGTGTTCTATTTTTTGATTCTCAAGGCCATTACATGGGAAAACATAGAAAAATGATGCCAACTGCACTTGAGCGTGTAATTTGGGGTTTTGGGGACGGATCAACAATTCCAGTTTTTGAAACTCCCATTGGAAAAATTGGTGCTGCTATTTGTTGGGAGAACAAAATGCCACTTTTGCGGATGGCAATGTATGCTAAAGGTAAGCCACACAGCCCACATTGTTGTAGTCATATATGTGTATTTTTTTTTTAATTGTATGTCTTTGGTTGTTTGCATAGTGTTGGAATGTAGGAGTGTAGACTACAGCTAAGAGGAAAATAGTTGAGTTCACTTTTTTTGCAAAGAATCTTACCCTTATTCTTATATTGCATTTTGGATTAAGATGTTCAATATCTAAATGTTGCCTGTTTATACACTATCAATCTTGCTGATTTGGTCAGACTCCATATAACCATTTTTGGGATATGTTGATTTAGAATTTTGTAACAAGCAACAGCCAGTGTGTTTTCTCTGGAGGAAACATGCTTGTTTGACTTTGTCCCATCTTTAGCTTCCCTTTTCTAATTGGCACTAAGGTTAAGAAAATATGCTTAAAGTAGAGTAGAAATATTGGTTGTTGATTTATAGAAAAATTAGTGTGAGAAAGTGTTGGAAATGAGAGAAGTAAGATGCTAATGTGATGGAGTGGGGAGTTAAAGTTTAGCATTTCATAATAATAATGGGAAGGTTTTTTTGGGACATTCCACACACACACACACACACACACACACACAAAGTGAATATGGGACTGAGGGATAAAGTTTAACTTGTTGGTAAAACCTAACTAATTCTGCTTCATAACTTCAGGTATTGAGATTTTTTGTGCTCCAACAGCTGATGCAAGGGAGGTTTGGCAAGCATCCATGACCCATATAGCTCTTGAAGGTGGATGTTTTGTTTTGTCAGCCAACCAGTTCTGTAGAAGGAAAGATTATCCTCCACCCCCTGAATACGTGTTTTCTGGAATAGAAGATGATCTGAATCCTGAGTCAGTTGTATGTGCTGGTGGTAGTGTAATTATATCACCATCAGGGGCTGTCCTTGCTGGACCAAATCATGATGGTGAGGCGCTCATCTCAGCCGATCTAGGTATGTTTATTGGATATGGCTTAGAGGTTAAAAAGTATTTAATTTTTTTTTTTTTTTTTTATCAACACACTTTGCTTTTATAGTTATAAACTTGCCAAGTTGCCATGAAAAGATCAAAAATTAAAGCTTAAGATGTTCTTGAATGTATACGCTATACAAACAATTTAGTTTGTACAAATGATTTTAAAGCCATTACATTATGTGCTCTTGAAAGAGCTGATAAAGATTTATTACAAGTTATTGCAGTCTTCTCTGTTTGAAATTTCCACTTGAAACGGAAAGCTTTCTTCACTCAGGAGGGCATCTACTTCTGCCAAGGCTTAGAAGGTCAATGAGAGATTCTAACCAACTAGCTCTTTAATTTTGTGGTATTTAAGAGTAACAGAAACAAATTTGGGCACTTTCTAAGAGTGGTGTCTGATTAGTAGAGGCTTATCTCTAAGCTAGTTATTTCTTCCACTGAAGTGACGAAAAAGGTGCTTAAGACCATGTAGGGAGATCTGTGAGTCATAAAGCGTTGCCATTATATGTTGCCTTTTTTGGTCGGGAATCTACAGCCTGCTATTTGGTGGTTGCGATTTTGAGAAGCTAAAGCGAGGGTCAAGGTTTGGGGGTTGAAGGTGGAACAAGATGAACTTAATCAACAAGGGTATGGTCATGCTGGATGTCATGAAGCCTCTTTGATGGATGCAGCAAATAAGTAATAAAAAGGGAAAAGTTACTCATGGTTACATGACATATATCTTTTTGGAATGGAGTAGAATCCATTCCAATGTTTGCCATGGAATCCCAAACTAGAGGTATCTAACTCCATTTCAATCTCCTACAATCTTATACCCACCCTAACCCCTAAGATTTTAACTTCATTCTATCCTAGATACAAATCCTAATTAAGTGCATATCCATACCAGTTTCAAACCAAACAAATTTAGTAATGTATGGGGTTCTCAATCCATTCCATTCCACTTTGTTGAATCAAATGAAGGCTAATGACTTCTAAGTTTAAGCTCAAAGGCTATCTATACCTCTTGAAAAGAATCATCTTACTTAGCTTTAAGCACACAAGCTAAAGTTGATGTTATATATATAAAATTTTCTAATAAAAGAGTACAATAACAACAATAAAGCCTTAGTCCCAAAATGGTTTGGGTTCGGCTAATATGAAACGTCATTAGGAACCGTCCGAAAAACATTAAGAGCATAACAAGATAATCGATTGAATAAAGTTTTTAAAAAAAAAAAAAAACGGGTGTAAATTGAGAAACAGGAAGTGTATTCAAATAAAATTTAAGAGTCTTAAAAGAGTGGCAGGGGATATAAATGAAATGAGAAGCTTGTGAGTAAAAAAAAAAAAAAGGTTTGAGAAAACTTTAGCAAAGGAAATAAGTAAAGTTTGCAGAACACGAGTTGAGTAAATAATATTAAGATAAAATAAACAAAAGTAAGTATATATGTAACATCCTCTACGTGAATAATCTCTCTCCACTTCGCTCTATCCAACACCATATTTTCCTCAATCCCCAAAGGTTTCATATTGCTTTCGATCACCCTCTTTCAAGTTTTCTTAGGTCTTCCCTTACCCATCATGATCCCAACACTTTGCCACTTTTCAACCTTCTTACCAGGGCCTCACTTGGTGTCTCCTTTTTACATGGCCAAACACCTTAGTTGATTCTCCCGCATCTTGTTTTCAATAGATGTAGTCCCTGTTTTCTTCTTAATTATCTTATTCCACAATCAATCCTTTCTGTATGGCCACACATCCATTGCAACATATGCATCTCCGCCACATGTTGTTGTTGTTGTGAATGAGTGGAGAGCTTTGGAAGGAGTTTAGTACCTCAAAGATTCAAGGAGATAAATAGGTGACAGAAGAAGGGTGTAACAATTAATCTAAGGAGAATTTGGCAAACATTGACAAAATAGGGGATGACTCAGTTAGGGGAAAAGGAGCGATATGAAAGGGTGAGCACTTTGTAGTGGCAAAAGAGTTAGAGAACTGTTGTTAATTGTTGATATTAAGGATTTTAGCTAGCTTGGAAAAAAAAAAATCAACTTGGTGATATAACGTTTAATAATAAAGATTGGAGAACATGTTGTTGGTTGGGTGGCGGGGAATCTGATCAATAGACTCTTTTCGTGACCTTGTGATGAGTTGAACTCTCAGTTTCTAGCAAGATATAGGACATGCCGAGATGGTACAAATTAAAGAAGGTTCATGGCCGGGTTTATGGGGATATGCAGAATGATTGACACTTATATGGAGTGAGGATGCTGATATTGTATTAAAATTCTTAGATAGGCTTTATTACATTGACAAACATCCTGTGATAAGGAGGAGAGAGGGGGGTGGGGGTTGGGGGGGGGGGGAGGGGGTAGGGTATGGTGAGCTATGGGCATACATGACTGCTGAGTGCTGACATTGTCCTTCAATCAACTTTGCGATATGTTTTCCTCTTTATTCTTGGACTTTTTCCTCCTTTCTTTCTGCGAATGAGGAAGGAGGGGAGGGGGGGGGGGGGGAGAATAACTGGGGCAGTGGTTTCGTGTATTGGAGACTGTCCAGCCCTTATTTCCATTTGTCCGGACATGTTTCTTTTTAACTACTTTCCTGTTAACAAAAACTTTTAAAATCAAATTTGGCTAATATGTTAGGTTATTATATATGTTTAACTTATTTGAAGTAAATGGTGGGCTGACACCATTTGGTTGTTGAATGTTACTCAGATTTGGGAGAGATAGCACAGGCGAAGTTTGATTTTGATGTAATTGGTCACTATTCAAGACCGGAGATACTTAGTCTGACTGTTAGGGACCAGCCAACAAATGCTGTATCTTTCACATCGGATTCTGAAAGAACTGAAAGATCTTAAGGCTGTTGCTGATGGTTATCTTGACAAGCCAGTCCATATTGTGTAGGTATATCAAACCATTCTGTATCTGAACTTCTTTGTTTTGTAAATCACATTATTCTTGTTTTGATAACATTTCTCAGTCCATTGTACTGATTTGATCACTCTTTTCTGTGTTTTTGTACATAATTTATTGTTAAAATAATTAGTGAGCAGCCCTGGGTCCTGTTTAGTGCTTTATTATTTATTGAGTTTTAACTTGCGCCAGGATTGGATTGCTTTAAAAGTTTAATCAGACTGGCGGTAAATTATGGTATGGCTGTGATTGCAGAAGCTTACTTGATTGTGGTGTTGGATAAAAGATCATGTTTGATGCAATGTAACTTTATTGGTCATATTGGCTATTGACGGCTTTGATTGCTTGGATCATAACAGTCTTTCACAACTCTGGAATTTTTTTTATAAAAAAACATTGGCTAACCATTGTCTCTTGCAGAGGCTATGTTATAGATTTAAATTTGCTTATACTGTACTTCCGACAAAGGGGGATTTTAGGAAGGGGGTGGGGCTGTGCGGGTGGGTGTGGGGGAGGGTTCATGTTAAGACAAGAGTGGGATCGTACGATTAACCATATATACGAGGAATCTTGCTTTTAATTCTGAAATGTTAGATAAGCTATTGTGTTTGTACTTAACAATACATGAAGAGCCTTAGAAATAAGTAATGATATAAACAATTAAACTAAAATAGGCACCAACTTATTCATCACTCTTCATCCAAAACCTCCAAACACAAGCAAATACGAAAAAGATGTGGAAAAGGGAAGAGTCCCTGACGAGAATCTGATTACTCTTGGAAAACTGTCAAATGGCTGTAGGAATTGCTTGTGAAATTTTACAGATGATAAGGCCTTATCTTATTGCAAGGAAAAATTTACTGTAGAATTTTTGTCAGTCATTAGTGACAGCTCCACAGGATTGCTAATTTTCCATTAAGCTGTATGCCTAGCAATAATTAAACTCAAGGTTCTGGTTTTCTTGTGAAATCCAGAGTGAAGGGGTTTGTTTCCATTTCCCCACACAGTTGTGTCTATTTGCTTTGTTGAACTTTAATATCGATAAGCAATTAGTAATTACTAATTAGAAAGCTATCAACCTCATTGATCCCAACCCAGTTACAGAATTTTGGCTTATTCACATTGGCATTGCCTTTTTGTCCATTTATTCTGATTTAATCTCCTGTATACAATGCTGTAGTTGTTGGAAATCTGATGTTTCAACTATTTCAATCATTTCATGGTAAGCCATGATTGGAAATTTGACATCAATGGATTATTGCATGATTCCTGCTTCATTGTATCTTAATTCATTACCTTGGTCTAGTATACTAGTCCTCTTGATTTCAAGAGAAATGGGAGTTTACCACATCCCATTATTGAGGTGGGACTTCTATTCTCATTAACAAGATCTCTTGGTTGTTAGGTAATTAATGATAGTCTTCTGTTTTTGAACCCAGTTTATACGTTTAAATTGGAATTTCCTTCTTGGTTGGTTCCTTATGTCCTCTCCTTTTCTCCATAGGACATATCCTTTGGCCTCTTGAACCACCGAATTGAGGAATAGGTCTCTTGATCTGTTTTCTGGGTGAAATGTACAATCAATGCGTTAGAATTCCATCATTTCAGTATAGGACAACTGGTTGAATTGCCTCTCCCCTCCCCTTTGTTATTGTTTATACGCTGTTTCAAAATCTTTCTGAAGTAGATTTCATATACTTTTTATTTGGCTACTTCCTCCTGGGCTGCTGAAAAAAAAAATATTATCTTAGCTAATTCCTTCTAATTTACTGCCTGAACTTGTCATTATTTCTACATAACTCCGGAGAATTGAGTCTGATTATTGTGGCTTGTGATACCTTTATTTTATGCTATCGGCTACATGGAGGCTGGCTACAAAGCCCAATGCTATACTTATCCTTTAGGACCGGTGCGCTCTCATACAAGTGATATATCAAGTCCTTCATGCTTGACCCTCCATTCCTGTCCACTTTGACAGCTTGTTTGATTTGTTAAGCTTGATGCAATCTTGGAATTCCATCTGGTGCCTTGTTATCACCATTTTTTTCTTTATTGTATTGTTGGCAGATTTCTCTGACAGTATGTATGAATGTATAATAGTACAGTGGGGTCATGCTACATTCATTAGTTACAAGTACATATTATATTATTTAGGAATATAGATTATGAATCTAACCTTTTGGATTATAAGAACTTTTGATGGGACCTTATGTTCTCTTAAGATCATGTCTTATGTAGGAAATTGTCGTGTGTGTGTGAATAAAATATTTTGTGCATGTAACATTCTACATCCTTGATTTTGTTACTTCAGGTGGTTTCCACTTCCAGTTTCTGGGGTAGCGTTTCATGTTCATTTATTTGTCTGCATCACCTGAGTTTTTATCAGAAAACATGTCCCGTGCTGCATGTCAAATTAGGATAGTGGGTTTGACATTTGGCTATTGAAACCAATTCATCTCATTACATTACTGTATATTGGTTAGTGATGGCTTAAAGATCTCATGCTGTAGACTCACCAAGAGTATAATTCGAAGTTTTGAAGTCTAGTCCCAAATACCTTAATTAATTGTGTTTTTGATAAGGTTCTATTCTTCTAACAATCAAATAATCAGAGACTGAAATGCTACAATTAGTTTGGAGGTGTACCAAGTTGATTGCATAACCTTTGCATGTACAGCTATCTGACTACTGAAAACCTCACTTTAACTTGTTTATCTCAGTGTTCTTCTGCAGAATGTTTCGTCTGTTTGTTTTCTGCATCTCACAATTATCGACTACTTATGCTGCTCCTGCTGCTGCTACTACGTCTCATGGTACTATCAGAGAAACTGCCAGGTTTTGCAGATATTACGTAAAAAATAAAGGTTTTGTTAGATCAAAGTATCCTTATTGTTCTGCATACCTGCATTGCTAGGCACACAAAAAGAAACCCATGAACAACTACTCCAGGAAAAAGGTGCAAATTTCCTCTTCATTTCATAAAAATAGTAGAATATTTTATCTTAATATGTTCATCGTTTGACAATTGACATTCATGTTGTTTGCCTCCAAGAATATACAAGTACAAAGTATATGGGCTTGTCCTTTCTTGTTTTCAAACGTGTTATGTTCTTCATTAATTTGATAATTTATGCCTTTGTTCTGTTGTTAATATCTAGGGGATTGCCACCAATTTTGGACGTATTAAGGATGCTTTATTAGAAAATTAATATGTTTTCTAAACTATGAAATTATGACTTTCTGAACTGTCACCAACACCATATGTAAAGTTTTTACTGGTGGGTATTACTTATTTATATTCTTCTAGAATTACAGTCAACAAATTGTATTTAACTGTGGTTTTAATATTACTTGAGGAAACAAGGTAGCTCTAGATTAGGTTGAGACACTTAAAAGCCATGATAACTCGTTTAAATCTAATTAAATCAAATCTTAAGGTCTACTCATTTTCCTGGTATGAGGATTTAATATCTGTGATTCAGAGTTGAGATTATCTTCATTATTACTGGTTGACATCCTTTTATATTGCAAACCCCAATGCCATGTTTTCCCCATCTCTGTTGATTCCCTTTGACCGCCGTCTATGAAATATGAATATGAATGGTGCTTCCTCAACCATCCACATGCTGCTTCTTGATGATCTTAAGACCATAAGATAGAGTCACTTGAATTTCTGGAGATAAATAAATTATGCTGTTGCTCCGTTGTTGTCTAGTCAGTCACGTCCTTAATTTGGGTTATTTCGTCGTCAACTTATATTGGTAGATTGGTCATGTGTTGGGATTCATCTGTCGGAATCAAGACAACCATATGTTATTCTTCATTTTTTAACTGTTCCCATATATCTTGCCCTTATATCAATTATATGGGCCATTAGGAATTATGCTAGTCTCAGGACAAAGTCGTCGTTGCCATGTGTTCCACCAGATATATCAATTATAATCCCTCCGTTTTCTTAAAGCACCTGAATTTTACTTTTTTGCAGTATTCACATAATCCACTTTGACTAAAGTTGGTGATTTATACATAATAAAAAGATATAATAGCATGTCTCTCATGTAGGTACTTATTGGAATCGTTTTAATGTATAGTTTTCAAATATCAACTTTCTATTTTTTTATTTTTTTTTATTTTTTTATAATTTATACTCATTGTTTTAGTGATGATCAAAAATATTACTACATATTTATTTGTATTGACATACATGCCCAGTCAACCTGGGGTACTTAAAAATAACTGAGAGAACATACATATTTTAATTGTGTGTGCAACTTGTTTGGTTGAATTCTTTTAAGCTTAATTGTACGAAGTAATAAATGAGAATTTATGACGATATTTGGAGACTCTTCACCAAGGTAACTCTTAACGTGTCTGAAGTTCTGAACATAGAATAAATTATGAACCCCTTTTGAAATGTTTGATTTTCTCATTTGTTCATATAAAACAAGTTCAAAACATTTCATGAATCCTTGAGACTATATTTGTCTCCTAATTCTCTTTTATAATTTGCTCAATTGACCACTTCAGCATTGTTGTCTGTTAACAGGTAGAAGCTATAATCAAGTAGGCTAAGAATAAAATTGTTTATTGGTCTCTTTTAATATATTGCACTGATCCAGGTCATTGGTGCACATGATTTATGAAATTATTCATCGTTTTTTTCTAGCTAGCCCCCTTTGTCTTTGGACTGAGAAGTCGACATTATTGCACAAATTCACCAAAATACAATTATTGCACCAGATTTATCTAATACAGATACAGCTATATTTGGAGTATATAATAAAACTTAGCCTTAACATATACAAATATTATATTAATAACACAACATTATTTCTGACATGTAAAAACTTTAAATCTGCAGTTGCAGATTAAATTGCGCCAACAAAATAAATTTCATTAATCTGCATCTGCATCTGCATTCTTAATAACTTATCATACTTGCTGATTTGAAACATTATTAAAACCTTAAAAGGTATGGTACTGGAGGTGGGTGATGCTCATCCATTCAATTTCAGGGCAGACCGAATCTTTGAACATTGTTTTACTTGAATTTTACTTCAAATCTACAGCAGCTCTTCTTTTTCTTTTGCTTTTCCTTTTTCCATTAACCTTGTGACTCGTTGTACCAAAATACAATTACATAATACCAAGTATTCAATAATCAATAGTTCAATCCTTTACAACCAATATGAAATTCTTTACAAGTAATACTTGGTCTAATGGTAAGATTATTATTTCTCTTAGACTTTACCCTGGGTTATCTGTGAGAGGCTCTGGTTTAAGCTTTATGATCATCACAATCAATTCAATTCCTGAGTAACCTTATTTAAAATGCCATAATACTAAGCAAGTCTTATTTCGATATAGCTCTGCCACATTTTTTTTTTTTTATATCTGTGTCGGGTCGGTGAGGTCAATTTTTGACACCTTTAGTATGTAACTAAATGAAGATTAATACTTCATAGATACTAATATCAAAAAAAAAAATCTATTCACATAGTGTCACACTACAAAATTTGTAAGTATGTCAAATACAAGATCAATATTTCTCTCTCTCTCTCCTCTCAATTTTACAAAGGTAAAGAAGTTATATGAAATATGAAAGTTTTACTGAAAAGGAATTGCAAGCAGCATTGAACTAGAACGGGAGATACAGAAAGATTAAAACAATAGTACTCGTAGTATGTAAGATTAAACATGGTACGGAGTATAATTTAATTAAAATCTGGTAATTTTTATAATGTACTGAATTCCAGCAATCATATGTTGTTTACCCTACATTGGCCTTCGAGTTGAAGCTGTTCTCTCTTTGATGCTAAATCTTGCAAGATTGCACTACAAGCCTCTCTCAACCGCGATGAGTTTCCTGTAGAGATTGGTGAGCCATGAAAAGATGGTAATCTATGAGATTTATCTACTGAGTTATACCTTTTGAACGATTCATCACCATCACCATCATCATCGACGTCTTCATTTGTTGCACCAACTTCACAAACTTGGGACGGTCTTCCTATATCGAATCCATTAATACTTCCCAGCTTGTTGTTGGCAGTGAAGTCCCATTCTATGCCTCCATCTGAAGTTTTTCTCTGCAAACAAATACTTTCCCACTGAATTTTCTCAGAAAGTGATCTCCTTCCCTTGAATACTTCATCCATTGAACCCCTTCTGGAGTCACCTTGATTGTTCCCTTCACAAGCAAAGCTCCACTTGTAGCTCCTGTTATTATTGTCCATGTTTAGTTCGATTGAGTGGAGCTCGCTATCTCCTGAGTCTCCTTCTCCTTCTCCTCCATTTTCCAGTGCACCCATTTGCATTGTCTTCAAAAAATGCTTCAACCCTGTTTTTTCATCAAGATTATTGGTACCATTTTCTTTACTTTTCAAGTGGGTTTCAATATCATTCTTTAATCTCTCCAATGCCGCGTTTTTCTCCTCATATTCATACCTAGCTTCTGAAAGCTTCATCTGGACTCTCTCTTCCCGCAAGACATCTGCCAATTGAAGCATTTGTCTTTCTTTCTCAACCTCTTCTCTTGCTTTTGCTGATTCTCTTTTCAATTCCTCCACCTCAACTCTCTCTTCTCCAATCCCTCTTGCTAACTCGTCACAAGTTTGCTCCAATATCTCCCTAGCCCTTTTCTCACTGTCAAGCTCCTTGAGCGCGGTAGAAAAATGAGCTTTTGTATCAGCTAACTCCATACCTAGCTTCTTGTTCAGCCTTTCAGCTTGTCTCCTAAGCTTTCTCTCTATCTCAAGCTCCCTTGCTAAGGATGAAACAGCCTCTCGAATTCTCTCTTGCTCTCTGCTCTTCCAAGCTGCCTTTTCCTCAGCAAAATGCTTCAAAAGGGCATCCATTTGATTGCAATAAAAGCGTTGATCTTGAATCAACTTGTCTACTTGGAGTCTTGCTCGATCAAGCTCAACACGTAGAGCAGAGACTAAGGTTATCCTGGATGAATGTTGCTCCTCTTGGGATAGAATTCGGAACAAGACCTTGACAAGCTCTTTTGAGGCAATTAGGCTGTTATTAACATCCTTCAAACGAGTTTTGACGTTCATATTGTTCTCTCCAAGTCCAGCCATGTGACTCGATACCTGCATAGCTGAGATCAGATCAACAAACATGTATGTATGTATGTATATCTTTCACTGTACCTTTATCCATCAAAATGGACTAAACCATCATATCATAAGGTACAATGGTCCTAATGATATTAATAATACATGTAAATCTAAATATTAAACAATGAGAATTGTAGGTGTTAATACAACTTACCTCAATGGAAGTGGCTTTTCCGAGAGTTTCAGGGCCTCCTCCTCCTGTAATCTCAAGTTTCTGCGAAGTTGCAGAAGATCTTCTCCTGTGACCTCCCACTTTAGATCCATCAATCTGTAGCTATTCAACAAACAAACCAAACCAAACCAAATGTTAAAAAATTAACTATTCAAAATAATTAAACAGAAGTTGAAAATGTATTGATTCTAACCTGGTCACAAACAGGGGTATGAGGGTTGTTGCTGCTTCTAACTCTTTTCTCCTCCAAGATTTCCTCTTTCAGTCGAGCAGGTGAATGAAATCCATTTATTTCCCACAAAGTAGCAGCCAATTTTCGTGCTGAAACACCCTCTTTCCCCTTATTATTATTACTACTAACATTGTTATAGTAATAATTATTATAATTATTATTTGTATCAAAATTCTGCAAAGGTGACTCTGAACCTGATGCCATAATGAGTTTCCCTACCAAAACACCCTTTTTCAATTTGTAATTCTTCTTCTTCACCACTGAAGAGGATGACGACGATGATGATGACACCCTTTTCCTGATTTTGCAATGTTGTTGATTTTGCCTTGGCATTATTATTCTCTAAATTTCTCTTCCTGCTTCTTTCAAATAATCTATTACTCTCAACTTGTTTTTAATTATTATGATCATAATTCTCTCTCTTCCTTGGTTTTTATGGAGGACTATGTTGTGTTTTTAGTACACTTGATAATAATACTACTACTTGAACAGCTTTCTTTCTTTCTTTCTTTAAAAGTGTATAAGATCAAACAACCTAGATTTACTAAATCATTAATTTAGAAAAACAAAAGGGGTAAAAATAATTGTTGACCCTACAATAGAAACCTTTTAAAAGAATGGAACTTAAGTGGGGATGATTAATAGAATACAGTATGTGAGAATGTGTTTTTGGATGCCTTGAGAGGGAAACCAACCAAAATCAAAGTTTAAGAAACAAAGTTAAAAAGAAAGAGAAAGTACAGTTTGTGATTGTGTTTGTGATTAAGGCTTTGAATTGGCTTCATAATTTTAAGAGTTGGAGGACGTGACATGCACGTGAGTGGCGAACCCATGAATATTCTATAGGAATTAGGAAAGGTGCATGTGTATTTGTGTTTTGGTGTCTAGATCTTAATTGACCTGGTTCGAAGTATTTCATTTGTAGCCCGAGAAGAATGAGGAGTATTTGACTCGACATACAATGATAATACTAATGGTCTAATGCCGTCAAACAAATGTAATTTAAGAGCTCAAGTGGTTAAAGCTTCCCTCCCAATTTTTGGTGATTTTGGGATATTCTCATCATTCATGCGTTATCGATCAAAATTACAGGAGTAATTGTGGCTATTACTCTCAAAGTGGCCATACATACGAGTAGCTCTAAGAATAGGAATAATAAAAACTCGTAAGAAGGAGCCAAGAAAAGATTAGGGAATGGTAGGGCAGAAATATAACAGGCCACGAGGGGTTGGGTCCCATCAATTCTGCTGAATATTGTGAATTCATAGCTGGTATTTTTGGATTTCAAAATAATTTGGATTCACATCATACAAACCCTTGAGGCCCCACAGTACATACATTTTCCCTTTTAATTGGTTTTTGTATTTTATACTCGTACCATATTCAGAGGCCCATCGAATCGGCCCCATCTGCATGGACTCCATATATTTGTTATTTTACTACTCTTTCCGTCCCTTTTTTTTTTGCCCCATTACAAGGATATGGGTCAAATTTTTAAAACTTTGACTATGAATTCTCGTTAATTTATAAGTGATAATATATATATTCATGTAAGATTGTGTTAGAATCGTCTTATTGCATAATTTATTAATATCAAATTTTAATAATTTTTACGCATATAGAAATGGAAATATATACGCTTGAAGACGCATCTTGGAGACCGTGAAAAGTCAAATAGGGCAAAAAAAATAAGGAGCAGAGGGAGTACTAGACTACTACTAGTCTCTACTCTCTAGTGCTCCATATAGCACTTTTAATTTTCAAACTGAAACCATTTAACTATTCGAAACTGATCAACCTGAATGAGAACCAAACCGAGAAAAATCGATAGCTTGGAACCAAAAACCGACTCGAATCATTTTTTAGTCAATTCAAAACCAAACAAACCCATTTAGTGTTAAATTGTATAAGAATCATAACTCCATAAGAACCAAATCGTTCAAATCTACCCTAAAATAGAATAGAATCGAATACAATTTAAATTGTTAATGACTTGTACCGTTCAAACCAAAAACGTTTGAACCCACTAACCATTTAAATCGAACTTTTTTCAAACCGTAAATTGTTTAAATTGAACCATTTACAAATCGATCTGGTTTCAAACCATAAAACGCAAACCATTTAACAAATTCATTTACAAACCACAAACTAAACCATTTACAAATTTGTTAAAATTACACACAATAATATACTTATATAGTTTTACACACAACAATTTAAATAAATAATACGAACTTTTTTCCTAAAAAAAAATACGGAGTAATTTTGTAAAATTACACACAATTATATACTTGAGCAATTGCATGATATTAGCCGAAGTTTTTTCTTTGTCATCCATATTTACATAAGGCGATTTTATTTCTTAGCCAATGTTTCACACACTTGCAACATATTATTTCCTACAATTATTGCATTTTCTGAAAGCCCGTGAATGTTTTATTAGTATTCAATCCTTCTTTCTAATTATGAAAATGCAATGTTATAGCAATATGCTCAATATTTAGAGTGCTTGTTTAGTTAAATTATGCTTCATATATTAGACATTTTTAATTGATATGTACTTTGTATATAAGTTGATCTGAGTTGACTGCGGCCAAGTTCGGATACCACATGGATCTCAAGGAATGTTGTTGAGGTAGCATCAATAATGTAATCTCTATCTATGTCACATGGAGCCTCACAGTTGTTTGTAATCAAAATATTGGAGTTAATTCAAATAGATGATAATCAAAGTAAAGCTGTTAGGTAAGAGAATATGATCACATGCCTCTCCCTATGTAATTAACCTTATTTATCTGTTGTTTACCTTCGTAGTACTTCTCTTTCTGCTTCGTGGGCGGTTTCGCTCTATTAACATCTCTATTTGGCTATCTGTATAACATAAGTAAGCCTAGCAATTATCTAGGTTTGTGCCTTTCTATAAGTGCATCTGTTTCGCTCTATTAACATCTCTATTTGACTATTTGTATAACATAAGTAAGCCTAGCAATTATCTAGATTTGTGTTTTTCTATAAGCGCATTTGTTTCGCCTTATTAACATCCGTATTTAACTACTTGTATATCATAAACGCATGGTGTTGTTGATTTGTTGACTAGGAAACTGCCTAACACAGGTTTACTCAGATACTAATTAAAATATTTTAGGCTTTCCGTGGCAGATCCTTTTTTTTTTTTTTTTTTTTTTGTTTTGGTAAAGAGATGTTTCGCTTGAAATTCTTGCAAAAGAAATAATTAAAGATTCTAGTTTTCTTATTCTGAATTTTTTGTTTGCAAAAGAAACTGATTGACTACGAATCTATGATAATTGACCAAAACAGCCAATCATTAAAGTTCATTTAGTAATCTTAGTTTTAAAGTTGGCAAACTGGGTTGTAAAAAGTGCTTGGCTACATATTTGAACCAAATAGCCCATCATTAATATTCCACGAAAAATTTCATACTCGTACTCAACTTTTGAATATTATGAACTCTCCAAAATTATTACAGATAATTTGATACACATTATTGTGAGAGAATACATAGCATTTTTTTTTTTTTTTTTTTTTTTATATATATATATATATATATATTTTTTGAGATTGACTGTTTTCATTATGAATCTCATCAAGCAGGCAAGAGATAGTTAGTAAAGTACATAACAAGTAGAGAGACTAGAGTACAGGATTTGTACGTAATTTATCATGCATAATAAGCATATACATTACATAATAGACAGTTACATTACATAATAAGCAGAGACTGAGGCATGCATGAACATATGATGCATCTTCAAATGTTTAAACTCAAAAGTATTCTTCGGTCCTCCCCTTGAAGCCAATCTGCCCAAATGTAAGGCACAAGAAAAGCCCCAGATGCCACAATACCAGCCACAACCTATTCCGACCATTACATGTACACAGCGCGTAGAATATCAGTATTTACATTGATTAACAAGACATTTACTCGGTAAAAATTTTAAATTTCCTTACACTTACCATAATCTACGGAACATATACCAAGTATAAAAATAATAATTAGCTGATCAAAAGTAAAGATACTCACCAGAACTGAGAAGTAAGGGCAGGAGGGGTGGGAAAGTGAGACAACTCCTCCCCAATGCTTGAGAAGAAGAGACCTGTGAGGCTGTTTCCATTAATGGCCGGTATGCTTGATGGAGCCATCCATCCAATCAACCCAAACCCGATCACATTGAAGTCTTTCCTCAGCCAATTTCTTTCAAAGCTATATCAAACAAATTAATTTTTAGAACTTCGTAATACTTTTCTAGACAACCCATATGTCACCAAGAAAACTATATTATAAGGTAAGAGCAGAGGCAAAGACAATGCTGTCAAATGTTAGAGTATTACAACTTATTGTTATAAGGTATATACTACTTCTATAGTTCTATATAGTCAAAAAATTTATTTATTATACCAATGAGGTCTTGGGCTGGTAGTTAAAATAGAGGGTCTGTATAATAGGTCACAAAATCAAATCTCCCTGGCCACTTATCTGCAATCTATATTATAATATTACTCTCGTGGTTCAACAAAAACAACAAAACACCTTAGTCTTAAAAAAATTTGAGGTCGGGTAACCTGAATTGTCATAAGGACCCTTGTGTTTCATTCACCCTAAATTTTTTTTTTTTCTTTTTCCATTTACAATCAACTTCTTTTTGTTTCTTATACATTACGTGTACTCCATATTTATTTATTAATTTATTTATTTTTTCCATTTTATCTCACAGGCATTACTCTCTAGAGCAATAAAGACAAGTAAAACTAGCTAAGTCTGATCACATGTATGAATTTTCATAACTCTTAGTCTCTTACTATTTATATCTCATTTGCAGCGATCGATGATACGGAGTATCAAGATACCAATGATTATTTAAATACAATTAACAGTACAATTACATTCATTTACCAATTGTATGACATGACCTTCTCCGTCTTTTAAGTGTATATAAAGCCACAAAGAAAAGTAATTGTCGATGAAATTCAACCCATGTCATATATATAGTAGTAGAACAATATCACCCCCTACTTAGGATGCTAACTGCTAAGCTTATAAAGATTCACAATTCAATGGGTAGTTACCTATATATCAAGGGATCTATTTTCAGAATAATGAGTAAAAGTATAGTGAAATGAGCATTCCTCTTGAATGTTTAAAGATGCATACTAAACAAATTTAAATCACTCATTCCAATCTCTAAAGTAATACAGGTCATTACAGACTTGCAGTTATATACTACGTATAGTGTTAACTCCGTTAAGTAAATATTAACACATGTGATATGGTGTATCATGTCATAATTTGATGACAGAAATTCCCGAAAGTAAAATGAGTAGATAAATTACCACGTAAATTTTCCTCCTGACGTAGCACAAGCTAGGCTGAGAGGGTTCCTTGCTGCTACTTTTGACTTCAAGAAGCCTGAATTAATATACGTATAGAAAAGAATGCGATTACATTAGATTAGATCAGATCATACCCGAGTTCGAGCTATTTATTTATATCCAATTGTCAAATAAGTTTACAAGCAATACATAATAATGTAGATAAGCAGGATTACCTGAAGTAAAGCCAGTAGATTTAGAGGAAGAGCGAGAGAGAGTAGAGGTGCCCAAACCAATCACACTTGAACTGCCTGCAAAACTACAGTTGGCCGCCATTTTTGTGTCTGATTACTCACTCTCCAATTCTGTTCTCTCGTTTTTTTCTTTTCCTTCAAATGGGAACTGACTCAGATATTTTACGATGAAGTGGATTAGAGAAAGGATTTCATGGATTATTCTCTGGTCAATGGATTTTGGACACGTGTATTTGTGGATAAAATTTTACAACACTATATATGTTAACAAAATCAGAGCTTTAGTATCAAGTGTCTATACTTGGGAGTCTCTTATCTCATCCCACATAACAGGAATTCTTCCATGTGGTCAATAATTTCCGAATTATGAGTAAATATAAAAACCAAAAGAAAAAAGGGAAAATTCTTTTTTTATTAAATAAATTTAGATCTAAACATAATCTAGAGCCTATTCAGTACACCCATCTTTTATAAGTTTACTCACTTTATATGGCAGCGTATGTATTAACTATTATGGTCTGAGGAACTATTGAGCTAGGAAGCATTCCGCTTCACAATTTCAAAACCAACTGGTATACTCTGCGCTTTATTAAAAGCAGGTGAAAAACAAATTTACACATTCTTCATAAGGACATTTAGTACGAGTAAGAGTAACATTATAAAACGAGAGATTTGCAAGAGGTGCAAGCCTTCCTTTTCTCCAGGGACAGTATCAAATGCAAATTTGCAAGTGCTTTCTCCTGGGTATTGATAAGATCTAAATATATGGAAGCACTTGTTACATCTCATTTTTCATTATTATCACTAAATCAACTTAACCCTTTCTCGATCAAAAGACATATCTGACAAGTGGTATTAGCCGAGATAACACCAACTAGGATGGAAAGAAAGATCCAGGAGAGAAACTACCAGATCATATAACTGACCTCTATAGTGATATGAAAACAGTTTGGTTCAATTAATAACTGAGCACAATAAAAGCAGACAATTAAATTCTACAGCTGAAGTATCTGCAACTTCAGTGTAGGCAAGATCTTTTAGCTGAGTGAGCTGAGCAAATGATACAAGTGATACTGGAATGGACCAACAAGAAAAGACGATGACAATTAGTTTCAAATAGAGCTTGGCCTCAACAGATGCAACAGAACAAATAGCTATTGCTTGGACAATTTCACCAGTCACTCTTCAGCATCATTCCATGCTGATGGCCCGCCCAGTCCAAATTCTGGCGTCAAGGACTGAAACACAGAAGCTTCAACACCTTGATTCTTGGTTTTCTTTTTCTTTGCTGGATAAGTAACCAGAGCACTATTTGTGTCAAACTTCCCAACACCTTGGCTGCCTCTTCTTTGCCCGTCATTAGGATTCATACTCTCTGTGGCATCATAAGTTAAAAGCTCTGCAAATGGAGTTTCCTTATCATCAATAACATCCAAATGTTCTACCTTTCTTTTTGATCTTTTATCATTCATAGTTTTGTCAGCCTTTAGCACTTGATCTTCTTTCTCCACATGCTTATCCTTTTTCTTATGATCCTTCTTACTAACAATATGTGCCAGATCAGGCTCCCCTTCAGCAACTTCACTTGATTTAGCTTTTCTAGAAGTTTTCTGATCTCTTTTCTTGCCAAATGAATGTTCTTTCTCATTATATACATTGGCATTGAGTTCTAAATTTAAGTTTCCGCTAGACTTCTCTGCCATAAAGTAGCTATCGTCTTCAAGTACTCCAGCCTTTGCAAGCTTATGGTCATTATTAACCCCTTTTTGGTTCACCTGTTTATCAGAATTGGCATCTACACTGTTGTTGGAATTAGTAATCCAATGCTTCACATCATTATCCTTTTTCTTCGAACGTTTAAGCTCATTTCCTACACTAATCATAGCACTCTCAACTTTCTGATCATTCTTAGAGCTCAACATATCCATTTTTTTAGAGTTGAGTATCTCCAAACTGGGAACTAACTTTTTAACCTGCAATCAATATTTTTTTCCCAAAACAATCAATTTCTCAATATACATCAAGTAGAACTAGAACCACAGAAGAAGCTTGCAACAATAGATAATATTAAAAGCATCAGAAGCACCAGTGATCATATAATCAATCCAAAACTAACAATGGGTCAAACGAAATCAATTGGTGAATATATACTTAGTAATTCGATAAACGTTTGATTGCATGAGCACTTTTGTATGTTATGTCCCTTAGCGTTGCATATGCTGCGGAAGTTGAGGTTGGATGTTATATCCTTGATGAGTTTCATAGCCCAAGTTTAGGTGGTGTGAGCAGTACGCACTTGATTAATCTCACGTGATTGGGTCGGGCGGTGTGGGGAGGGGGGAAGCCACCTCTTATTAGAGTAATGGTGGACTTACTCTCTAGAGCAATCATGAGACCAGGATGTGTTGTGGCTAACTTGTACGTAGGGATGGCAATCCAGTCCAGATCCGACCCTACTCCACCCCGATCCGAGGGAAAAAAATCCGCTCCAAGTCCTAGAAAAAATTAATCTGAGTCCGACTCCGTTAAAATAATCCGACTCTAAGTCAGAAGAGAGTTGGAGTCGGATCCTACAAAAAAAAGTATATCGAATAACCGAAAAAAAAACTTGGAGTCGAGTCGGATCGGAGTTGGAGACAAGATGTTAAAGTCGGATCGGAGTCGGAGTCGGAATCAGATTTAGCCTCCAACTTCCTGTAGAGTTGGAGTCGGATTTAGAATAATCCGCTCCGAGTGCGACCCATTGCTATCCCTACTTGTACGCGAGAACTGTCTATGTCTTAAAGGGCAAAAGGCGCATATTAGGATTCATATCTAGTTTGTAAACATTATTTGCTATTTGATTTATTCCATTTGAACATTCTATAATCAGGTTTCTGGCTATTGACTTGGTCTTATTTTTTGAGCTTTTGTTAACTGACTAAGAGGGTTCATGTTAGGCATTGGAGCAATGTTGGTAACCTAGACGTTAATATCATTGCCACAAGGTTCAACCTCTAAGAACCATGACCAATCAACCAAATTGGTATTTTAAAGAAAGAAAATTCACCAGCAGCATATGATTACTTAAGTTGCACCTGGAGACCATTAGGCCATAACATTGATCGGAAATCGTTTGTCCCTTCACATGCACTTCACTTTCAGAAATTTCCCTAATTTTTCTCTCTTTTCTTATTTTCCCCCCTTTTCACCTATTCAATGCATAAATAATAATTTAAGCAATCTTATTACTCCCTTTTTCGTTACTCTTATCCCCATTATGCCTTTCAACAGACCATGAAAGCGTTACACGCAGCAATAGTGAAATTCACAAAATACACTTAAATATATGTGAAAGAGCACGAAAATAGGAGAAAAATTGTTCGTGAAGAAGAGAGTGAAAAGGGAGAAGATTCTTTGGTTGAAAGAGTCAAGTAATTTATTACTAGAAGAACATTTTATGTGGAAGGTTTTCTATTTCAAAGTATTAAATTAAATTTATCCTTTCTTTGTCAACATTTGTAATTTTAGAACACCTATTGTTGGATTGATGATTAAGAGGTGAAATTCTTGGATTTATAAATGCCTCTAAGCCATTATCTAGAAGTAATGCACGCGCCCGCAGCCCGACTGTCGTCTTACAATAAGACCCCCAAGAACATGTGTCGTAGGCTAAATGTCGCGGTTTGAGTGTTTTAAAAGCGGATCATAAGGCGCACTCTTGCCTTTCGACTGCGAGGACGCAAGGAAAATGGTGCTTGTGAGCACAAAGCAACACAAGCAATTGTCTGCATTTCAAGGTGCGCTCACGCCTCTTGATGAGAAAGTGGGGTGATCATGGCTTGTAATAGCCAAGTAGTCATGTCAGGAACAAGCGGGATCGAATATCGAGTTTTTCCTTATAGCGCCTGGTGAGTTTGAGGTGCTAATATGCATGCAACGACACAATATCTATAAAGTTCTAACAACACAAGCATAAAAACAAGGCAACACCGGGTCAAAGGCTTTTGCATTTCATTAACCACTGGCCCTCTTCGTGTTTGAATTTAGGTTTCCAGCAAAATTATGCTGCTGTTATTTACATTATGCTGTAAATTGTAGTGTTCATTTTATTATTTTTATGGATTTTGTCTTGTAGAATAAGCCATCAAGTTTTGATGAGACTGCAGACGTGGATAATAATGATGTATTAGAGAGGGAAATTAAAATGAAAAAAAAAAAGATCTTCTGGTGCTTCTAGTAAGGAGACCAAAGTGAGTTGCAAGAGGAAGAAAAAATCAGTACGGTGGAAGCATTTTGATGGACCGATGATTCTAAGTATGCTTCTTACAAAGATCCATCGAATCACCATTTATTTCGCATAAATCCTTCAATCCATCTAAAGGGTTCATCAAGATGACAAGATCCACATTAACCAAGTGCAGCACACAACCCATGTACTAGGTAAATCACGTTTTTCCAAATTATTTATTCACCCAACTGGGCCCATAAATATCCATAGAGTAAGTGGCTTCTGCGAATGCAAACATACATTCCTAAAGACTTTGAAAAAAGTGTTATTACCTTTTTTATGAGCTTGGCCTTCTCAGCTATTGGATTTCCATGTAGGTTAAGGTTTTTCAAGTTATGCAATGAAGAAAGTACCTGCAAATGTGCCAAAACCATGATCCAGATATCACAAATGACTCAAGAAGACAATGTAAAAATTAAAAAATAAATAAAAAGAGGGAGAGAGAGACAGAAAGAGAGAAAAAAAAAAGGAAGGGGGGGATGCATACCTCCAGGTCAGACCACCTTGAAATCATGTTGTTTCCTAAGTCCAGAATTTGGAGTTTCTTACTATAAGCCAGCCCCTCAGGAAGAGTCTGTCCAAAGAGAATATGAGATGCAAAATGGTAAGTAATAGTGTGCATTCTAACTAAATTAATTAGGACAGAAGATAAAGTGAATCCAGAATAATATAAAGATAAACATACTGTAGCAACCCCATACAAACTCCACTTAGCAAGAAACATATATATAGGCATAGGAATGGTTGAATTAAAACTCTGGAAGAGACAAGAAGTCAAGCATACACCTTAATATCATTATGAGCAAGGCGCAGTTGTTGAAGTCCAGTGCAAGCCTTGATTGAATTGTCAATATCTTCTAGTTGGCAATTAGAGAGAGAAATCTGAAGTGCCACGTAAGATAATTACAACCTAGCCTAGTGGATGCTCTGATATGATATAAATTTGTATTTAAATCTGCTCACCTTTACAATCGATTTCTGCTTGGCCAGTGAATTGCCTACTGTACGGATTGGATTTCGAGATAGAACTACAATGAAGATAAACAGGCCAAGTATAGGAAACTTGGTTCATTAGTCATATTTTTCGTTTAAAACTGATATTGATGACAAAAAGGCAAGCGTCAGTAAAATCATTGCAATAAAGCAAAGCAAACACCAAATTTATCTAGATATCCCAATGACTGACACAGGACTGTAATAAATCAGGTTAACAGATGAAGCATAAACGGAGTAATTAAGCAATTATCAGATTTTAAGCAGGGAAAAAATGTAATAAAGTGGAAATTTTGATAGATGAATGAATGGTTGGTTACACCAATCTAAGAGTTCAAGAGGCTTAGTTCTTTCCCAAACAGAAAACTGCATCACGCAATCCCAATGATTCTCTCTCTCTCTTCCAATTTTCCCTTCTTATCACAATAACGGCCTTCCCTTACAATTCTAACCCTCTCTTAGCTACCTCAAATCCCCCTCTAACAGATTTAAAGTGACTCGCCCGGTAATACTCCTATCTTCACATCTACCATAAGGCAGCAGGAAATGAGACCTGGAGGAGTCATCATAGGGACATTGGAATATGATATGACAGACTTAAAGAAACAAAACCAAAGCAACAACACAAGAAAACAAGGCAAAATACAAAATCACATTACGGAATTAGGATACTGTGCTATAACAGAATATATATTATCCATGAAGCAGATAAATGGTTGGGCAACCGAAAGTTACCAAGAGTATTCAGTTCAATTAGTTGGTCAAGGCCAGAAATTGATCCAATATCATTGTCTGCAAAAAATGTAGAGAGAAAGAAGCAATTGAAGATACATTCCTTCGTTCCTTGAATATTCTTGGACAAAATGAGTTAAATCAAAAGTTGATTGAGATGTAAGAACTCACCATTTAATATCAAAGCACGTAATTTAACGAGATTTTTCACCTCGTCCATAGATTTAAGTTTATTTTTTCCAGCATTAAACACCTAATTAACCAGAATACACGGAAAAAAAAAAGGTAAATTAAAAAAGGCAATTAAGTAGTACAAAAAGGATTCTATGATTAAGCAGTAGAAAGAAAGATTACAGCGAGATTAGTGAGGGCTTGGATGCCATTCAAGTTGAGAAGCTTGTTTTGTTGCACGGATAACCATTTCAAGTTGAAGCACGACTCCAAACCCTACAAAAATTGCAATTGGAAATCAGAAGGTAAAAAAAAAAAAAAAAAAAAGTGATGTCGAATAACAATTAAAATGTATATATATATGATGTAATAAACCTTGAGTGAAGTTAAACTGTTGAAGGAGAGGTCAAGTCTCTGGAGTTTGTTGAAATCGCTTAAGCAAGAAACCTGAAACCAATTGAAGAATTTGATTAGACGAAAATACGAAATGGAATAACCCCAAATTGAAGATACGGGAGATTGGTGTCCGTACAGATGAGAGTGCTTTATGAGTAAGAGATAGTGAGGTTATGGAGTCGGACTTATCACTGTTGTTGTCTCTAAGGATGTCCTCCTTCCTCAACTCACCCATGTTTCACTCTTTTTTCTCCTCTCTTCTTCTTCTTCCTGCCCTCACCATAAACCCTATTCTAAAACCCTACCTATTACAGTCTTTTCCTTTTTTTTTTTTTTTCACGGCAAAAGAATGACCTTGTGTCGGATAAAATTTTTTGTTCTATTACGTGACATTTTCGTAAATAAATCAACAATTTTATTCGATCATCATCAACAATGAAATCTAATTTTTGTTCTAGAGGGAACGTTTTAAGTCAAAATTGACTAAAAAAATCATTTTGCATGTGTCAAATCGAGGTATATTTTAATAAGCAAAACTCTACACTGTCTTTGAAATAAACCCCCTTCCTCCTAAAACCACTGGAAACCCAACCTACCCCACTTCCATCAAAACCACCTTTGAAACCACTAGTAAACCCACCCTCGAAACCTTGGCTTTTGTTTGTGGCTTTTAGGCAGGTGGATTGGTTTCAAGGAGGTTTTGAAGGGATGTTATGAGTTTGTAAGTGGGTCGATGTGGAGAAGGAGGCTACTGTGATGGGGAAGAAAAGAGGTAAGGAGGTAATAAGCCACTAGTGGCTAGTAAGGAGGTGTGAAGAGAAGAGAAAGTGGGTTGACCGACCATGTTTGGATAACAATAGTGAAGGGAAAAGGAGGCCGGAGAAGGAAAAGGAGGGAAGGGAAAGGAGATGAGAGGAGAGAGAAGGTGATCTTCCATTTTCCTTCCAAATCTCTCAAACAATTGAGGCAAAATGGATCCTCCCAATTCCCTTCAACCACTATTAACTAGTATGGAGAAGGGAAGGGGGCTGACTGCCCGAGGGGAAAGGGGGTCACTTTTAGCCGGTAAGGGATTGAAGGGTGTCAAGGGAAGGAGTTGAGAAAAAAAGTGTTTTTTTTTTCCTTTATTTATTTTTGGAGGTCATGGGTAAAGGTTAGATTAGGAAGGATCCTACTGAACCAGGTGAGAAAACAAATGTAGTTAATGAAACTCAAACTTGTTACCCTAAAGTCACAAAGTGAGTTTTGATAAAAAAATTTTAATTATATAATGGGCATATTTTTATCGTAGAATGTATTGGGTATAGGGTACTTAAAGAATAACATTAACGAATATCCAACCGTAAGTTAATATTAACACCGAAAGTCCCCACTAATGACAATTAGGGAAAGAAATTTCCTTACCATTTCCCACTATCCTAAATTGTCTAACCCGTTAACCTGGTCCAAACTAGCCGAGATATTTTGGCTCAGTACAACCCTTCGTCTTACCTGGAAAAAAAATAAAAGTAACACGGAGAAGTGGTACTCTACTACTTTGCAACTAACGAAGTGTTCCAGCAGTTGGGCAAATAGATTAGTAAAGTAAAGTCAAGGGACGAGACGAAGCACAGAAACCCTAAGATTTGAATCTGTATCTGGATCTCCATCTAGTAATGGAGAGGCGGGGAGAGTGTAAACTAGAAATACTGAGCTCAGTGATCGCACTGTGTTTGGTGGTGCTAGCCTGCGTTGAGCTCGGAGATGCCGCCACCGCTGTCGACGTATACCGTCTCATACAGTACGATCTCGCCGGGGCACCTTTCGGATCTCGTATTGCTAATCTTAATCATCACGCTGGCTCTTCTCTCACCGCTCCTAATGCGGATCTCTCTCGCACTGTTGTCATCATTCCAATTGCCGACCTTAATGTTTCCTCCGTTAAAGGTTTATCAATTTGCTCTTAGTTTGACCTCGTCTCGTGTTGTGTCGTGTCGTGTCATGTGTTACCAATGATATGATATCATAGTCGAATGCTGTTTTTATTATTACCTTTGCTTCTCTGGCTGTGAAGTGCTTTTAACTCAACCTTTAAATACTCAATTCTAAGCTTTAAAGGGTATCAATGCAGATTACATTGACCGGAAACAGCCCCTAGGCGGTCTGTTGTTTTTGCTGCCTTCAATTTTCCATTCCGAAAATAAAGAAAGCAAACCGGATGCTGATCACAACTCCGAAACGAGAGACAAATTGGTGCTGTTGGAAAGGTTGCTGGTGCATGCCAACATACCTGTGAGTTCACAAATAATCATCACTCTCATTGTTGTGCATATGATCACTTCAAAAGGATGTTTTAAATGATTATACTGTATATGTATTCGATATGTTACTATGTTCATATATGCCTATATCTATCTGCAATTTTAAAGAATAAATTGTTTTAGATTTTTTCGCATTTGGGCTTACTACATGCTGGCCATATGTTTCTGAATCCTGAGATTTTAAAGGCATCTATGTTTCTGTTTTACTATAAGTGCATCAAGGAAAAAGTGATAATCAATCGCAGAATCTTCCAGAGCTTATTGTGTTTCATTTTATGCAGTATCCTGTCTATTTTGCCTTTGAGGATGAGCACATCAAGGCTGTGCTGGCTGATGTTAAACGAAATGATGTGATTGGCCAGCCGGCCACAGCAACTACTGGCGGGTGAGTCTATTGTTCTTCTGTTGTGCCTTTCTTTTGAAGCTCCTTTTCCAGCAAGTAGGTTTAGGGGACCTTGTTCTGGATGCTGATCCTTTTTGTGTAGTATTAAATTTGCCAGTTTCACTGAATTATTCCTATTAAGCAATTGTAGCTTTACTATATTGAGAACCTGCCTGTTGTATAATTTTTTTTTGCATAATTTGATTTTCTTTCAGTGCTTTGTAGATATTTTATTTGCTGTCTTTTGACATGGGAGAACCGTTCCTTTTTACTGCCTGATAATTTGGTGACTTTCATTCATGGATGCCTTTTCATTTTCTTTCTTAGCAAGAACCGGAACTCTTACTCTTCCTCCACCTTTCTCTTTGTTATCTAGTCAAATATCTCCTGAGCCGCCTTTTGACGGAATATTTCAGGTACAAGCTTGTTGTTTCAACATCGGAAGCAAGGAAGGTTTCTTCTCCCAGCATTACAAACATTCAGGTAAACTCCTAGGTTGCTAAGTAATATTGCCTAGAGATCTTCATTCAGTTTTGCAGTCAATCATTTTTCCAAGATTCATTGATCATGTAACATTATCTAACATTATCTATGGGCTAATCTGGTCTCCGGTGTATGTCTTTTTCATGCAAGCAGTTATTTTGTACCTGTTTAAGACTTTTTTTTAAATGTAGTTAGTAGCCTGCTTTTGATTCAAAAATATTAAAACTGCATGGTGATTATGACAATTAAACTTATGTGGCATTCGACATGGATTAGCCTACTAATTTTACCAATTGCTCCCTTCTTGTGGAACCTTATCTATCTGATGAAACATGACATCTAGGGTATGTTTGGTTTGATTTCAAATGTTTTCATGGAAAATGATTTTTCCATTTTCCCTCGTTTTCTTTTGTTTATTTCATAAAGGAATGGAAAATTTTCTCAATGGTGGAAAATTATACTTCAATTTTGGAAAACATGTTCCTTTACAAAAGAAGGGAAACCACCTGTTCCTCCCCTATCTTTACCTCCCTTTTACTTTCCTCTCAAATATCCTCACCTTTCCACCCCTATTTTTTATTTTTAATTTCTCTATACTTTTCTTGTAAGGAAATAAACAAAAGGAATTCCTTGAAAATGTGTTACATCGAATCAAATGGAGCCTTAATGCTTGCATATTCTAGTTATTTTTTATTGTTAAATAGCTCTTGGCGCTGCAGGGATGGTTGCCAGGATTGAAGCTGGAAGGAGATTCCAACCAAATTCCAACAATTGCTATAGTTGCATCTTATGATACATTTGGGGCTGCACCAGTGAGTACTATGATAGTCATATATGAAACTTTCGAATTCTCATCCAAGTCCTGTTTTGAAGACCTCTTAACTTAATTTTTACAGGCACTGTCAGTGGGTAGTGACAGTAATGGAAGTGGTGTTGTGGCACTTTTGGAAATTGCGCGACTATTTTCATCCTTGTATTCAAACCCAAAAACAAGAGGAAGATACAACTTACTTTTTGGGCTGACTTCTGGTGGACCTTACAACTATAATGGAACTCAAAAGGTACTTAAGTTTGGTGATCATATCTTCCATATAACTCACTTTCTAGTTCCAAAATCACTCTTGTTTCCTTTTTAGCAACTCTGGTATCTTCAGAGCATCAACATTTGCCTTTTTGTTGATCCTTGAATTCCTGTCTCTCCTCATCACGTATTCCATGATTCAAATTCTTTTGTTTATGTCAAAAACTTCAGTTGTCTGAACATTAATCTTGGCCTTCAATCTAAATTGACAGTGGCTTCGGAGCTTAGACCAGCGTATGCGTGAGAGTATTGATTATGCGATTTGTTTGAATAGTATTGGCTCATGGGACAATGAATTGTGGCTTCATGTGTCGAAACCTCCAGAAAATGCTTACGTAAAGCAAATTTTCAAAGTAAGTACATTGAGTGTTAAGCATGGCATTAAGCTAAAATCTTGTTTAATTCTGCTGCACGTCTTAGTGCTTAAAATTCCTCCTTTTTGCAGGATTTTTCTGATGTTGCTGGAGAATTGGGTGTTAAGGTTGGTTTGAAGCACAAGAAAATAAACATCTCAAATCCTCGAGTAAGTTGGTTTGCTAAGATGTTATATCCATAAAGGATGTACCTGGGATTTATAAAATTAGAAACTCCCATTCTCTATGGGCTATGGCTGCTTTGAATCGTCTGTTGTAATAATATTGAATGAGCAAAAAAGAATTTATAGTCAAAAGGTTCTGGAGTGGTGACAATTTGACAGTTTTTTTTTTCTTAGGCCTATTGTCAATATGGATGGTAATTAAACAGAAGAATATTGTCAGTTTGTAGTTTCAGTCAAGGCCACGTCAGATTATTCACACAATGGGTCAAAAAGCCAGTTAACTAGGGATATGTCTTTAGGTTATCCTTTACAATGCAGTGCCTAGACCCGTTGTTGAACCTCTTGTCTTGCTGTAGGTAGCTTGGGAGCATGAACAATTTTCAAGGCTAAGAGTGACAGCAGCCACGCTTTCAGGACTCTCCTCTGCACCTGAATTTCTGGAGAATTTTGGGGGTCTTTCTGATAGCAGGTAACTCCACCTTCCTGGAATGTGAACTGTCCATTCTGAAAGTGGTCCCCTTCTATAATTGCTGACTGTTGTACAGGCATTTGGTTGATGAAACTGCTGTTA